AAAATCTTTAAAAAAAAAAAGATTTTATGTATTTATTTATTTGATTGAGATAGAGAGAGTGAGATGTGGGGCTCGATCCCAGGACCCTGGGATCATGACCTGAGCCGAAGGCAGATGCTTAACTGACTGAGCTACCCAGGCGCCCCTGTAGCATCATTTTTATCATTTCTCTTAACCAAGATATTTAAGCCTGGAAGTGACAAGTTTGCATATGTGCTTTGGGGAATCCTCTGGAGACAACATAGAATATTGGTTGTAGAGAGCAGACAAGCCAGTTGCAGAGATCTGACATGAGAGTTGACAAGGGCCTCAGTGAAAGCAGTGGGGTTGGCTGGGAGGGAGCACGTAGAGGTAGAATTGATGGTTTGCTGTGTGAGATCAAAGTGAAGGAGAGGTGGGGGGCGCCTGGGTGGCTCAGATGGTTGGGCGTCTGCCTTCGGCTCTGGTCATGATCCCAGGGTCCTGGGATCGAGTCCCACATTGGGCTCCTTGCTCAGTGGGGAGTCTGCTTCTCCCTCTCCCTCTGCCTCTCCCCCTGATGTTCTCTCTCTGTCTCTCTCGCAAATGAATGAATGGAATCTTTAAAAAAAAAAAAAAGTGAAGGAGAGGTGGAAGATGGTGCTGATGTTTCTACCCTGTGCTGTTCGCCAAGAAGGGGAAGCCATAAATTTGGTTGTGGGGAGAGGAAGGAGAAATTCGTTAGCTTACAGACATTCATATATGTTGAGAGAGTGGGCAGCGACGTGCTTGGGTCCCTGCCAGCATGCATGGTTGTGTGTCTTGGTATAGCGTACACGTTGGTTCACAGATTTATTTATTTTAGTTTGTTCATCTGTGGTGCTCACCAGCTCTCACCAGCAGCTTTCCTGCCCATGGTCTGTTCGTCTTGGGGGCCCATCCTCCCCAGGTCCATCCTACCCAATCTGCTTAAAGAGATCTTACCTATCAAGATCCTGGCGAAATCCCATCCTCCAGGGAAGTCTTCCATATCCATATTAGCCTTTGTCAGCTGCTTTCAGACAGTCTTCAATTCCAAGTCATTCAAGCGCTGCAGACCAAAGTCAACTGGATGTGCTGAAACCCTAATATACTTGTAGCTCCATGTGGCTCAGTCTGTCCAGAGCATTAACTAAAATTTAACTCTCCACCTAGATTTCTCCCTGACAGTGTGTGTCAGTCTTTTCTTTCTTTCAACTTGTTTTCTTGCTCTTAAGTCTTTGTTCTGATTAGAAAAAAAAAATTCTCTTTCTCTAGATTCATCTTTCTTGCTCTCCATTGCCCTTTGGCTGTGGACTCATTGCCAGGAATTGAGCTGACAGAAGCAAAGTATCTTTAAAGGGCAGAAGAGTGAAGCAGGGGGAGGAAGGAAGCAAGCACAGTGATCTTTCTTTTTAGCACGATGCGGCAGGGAGAGATGTGCACACCTGGATGTGAATTAGTGTTGTCCTCCCACTGAGCTGAGATCACTGGGAGAAGCAGCAAGTTGAGCAAGAATCCTTTCACTTGCTCTGAGAAGATAGATACACTCTGAGCTTTGCACTACTCCACAACATTTCCTGGTTAGAGCCCAGTTGTGTGTTTTCATGTTGAAAATAATCTAGTTCCACCTGCTCTCTAAAACAGGCGGTAACTAAGGTGTCCTTTGGAGTCACTGAATGGTGAGATTTTAGATATTTGGTTAGTTAGTACCCATCCATCCTGGGACACTGACTCTATCTAATGAAAGCTTTTTCTTTTCCACCCAAACAATAGATGTGAGGTAGGCAACTCAAAGGAACATTTATTTATTTAGAGAGAGGGACAGCGGGGGTGTGGGGGGGGCAGAGGGAGAGAGAGAATCCCAAGCGGACTCCCTGTTGAATGTGGAACCTGACATGGCGCTCGATCCCAAGACCCTGAGATCGTAACCTGAGCAGAAATCAAGAGTCAGACGTTCAACCAACTGAGCCACCCAGGAGCCCCCAAAGCAACATTTAAACAGGAAGATACTCTGGGGTGCCTGGGTGGCTCAGTTGGTTAAGCATCTGCCATCAGCTAAGGTCATGATCCCAGGGTCCTGGCATCGAGTCCCACATCGGGCTCTTTGCTCAGCAGGGAGCCTGCTTCTCCCTCTTGCTCTGCCTGCCCCTCACCCTGCTTGTGCTCTCACTCTCTCTCTCTGTCAAATAAAAATAAAAACCTTTAAAAAAAATAAAAAATAAATAAACAGGAAGCTATTCTGCCTCAGAAGCAGGAAGAAATGCAGTGCAGCCCTGGGCCCAGGCTGCCCTCCTTATTTGCACATACAGCTAGCTCACCACACCACACATACAGCCAGGCTCACAGAGCAGACCCCTCCACTCCGTGCTGGTTGCCCTTGAAAGGTGGTGGTAAGGACATATTCCCCAAATTACCCAGCTTTGAAAGTAGAATCATTGGGAAAAATTCATATACTTTCTTTATGCCAGGACATGCTCCTCTTAGACTAGATGGGGCTTCCTTTTCCTCCTCCTCCGTTTCTAGGTGAGGCAATCAGCACCTCTCAGGAAGCCCCACAGAGATCATAAAAATCCATGCCTCACAGTGGAAAGAGCTCTGCAGTCCCCGAATTTAGGTTCGAATTCATTGACCTTAAACAAGTCTCTTTGAACCTCAGTCTCCTCACCTCTAAAATGGGCAGAGAAAAAGTAGCGGCCAATTATTGTCAGGGTTCAAATAATATATGGATGGTTCTTGCACCTAGTATGTACTGAATACCTAGTAGCTATTATTCTATCCACGTGGTGCAGCCTCACTTCCAGGGGTCAAGTGAGGGGAGTCTAGCCACATGCTTCACCCTTGCTTCTCCAGATGGGGTCCCCGAACAAGCAGCATTGTCAGACTTCCTGAATTACACTCTGCATTTTAACCAGATCCCCAGGTGATTCCTTTGGACATTACAGTCTGAGAAATGTTGCAGTCTTAGCTGGTCCCAGCTGGGCCTTGACCCTGGAGCCCCTGCAGGCCTAAATCAACTGAAGCGCAGCCTGCTCTTTAGCCCCCTCTGGACTCCAGCCACAGACGAAACACACGTATACCACGGACTTCTCACAAGCTGTGCAGTGCATCATCTCATCTAATCCCCCAACAGTCCTGGAGGGAAAGTGCTGTTCTCCCCATTTCTCAGATGAGGAAACCAACTCTACCAGATGAAAAATGGCTTTCCAAACATCGCCCAGCTAGTCTGTCACGGAGCCAGAATTCAAACCCAGGGCCATTATTTAAATCCAGATCCATAGCTGACAAAGTTTCTGTCTTTAACCAAACTCTGCCCGGCTCCTCTGAGCTTTCTTCTTGAGTGGCTCTCAAACTTGGCCTCTAAAAACTGCAGACTCTCAGCACAAAAGATTTATTTAGCCTACCCTCCACCCCCACACCACCACATCAAAAGATTTGAACACACAGCAACACAGTTTCTAGCAACTCAAGGCTACATCCCTACAATGACCTCAGCCCCCAGGAGAGTGCTGCCTGAGACAATTCAAGGCTGCTCCAAAAAAGGTATTCTGTTGCAGCCAACACCCCAAGAAAGGGCACTTGTCTCCCAGTCTCTGGGAGGCTTGAGCCCAACTTCAATAAGCAAGTGCCCGTTAGCAAACCCAAACGGGCTTGGACCAGCCCCCACTTCCTACTTTTGGTAGATCAGCAGGAAATTCCCTGCACAACCCCCACCACCCCCTCTTCCCTGGAAAATGCTCACTATAAAAATGGAGGTTGAGGTCAGTTTATGCTGAGGCCTCTGCCCTATTGCAATAGTACATTATTGATTAATGTCTGTCCTTCCCAATGTAATTAGCGTCTGCCTTTCTCTTTGACAGCTCTTTACCCTGTGTTATCTATCTAGTGCTGATAGGATACAGAATTCCCAGAAGCCATTTCTCTACTCAGCCATCTTGGTTAAAAGACACCCAGAGTACTTGTCCAACAGACAGACGATCACAGATTTGGACCCCAGGTTGCTGGAGTCTGAGATGCCTCCATCCCTGCGCTCTGCACTCACATACCTTAGCGAGGTTGACATAGGGCACAAGTCTGTAGCCATCTGGCAGCACAGAAGGCAGTCTAAACACCAACTAACATGTCTCTGAGATATTCAACCATTGTTTCAGCCCTGGGCTGACACAAAGTTTCACTATGACTGCAGAAGGGCAGGCTGTGTTCCTGGCCTGCCCATGTTATCCCTGGGGAGCTCTGCAGCCCTGGGTGCTGACAGGCAATGGGCATCTCTGAGCTATCAGTGGAAACTCTGAGATGGGGGTATGTGGTGGAGAATGTTCTTTGAGATCATTTCGGGCTGTTGTCTTGAGGGGCCCCCAGCCAGGCAAGGTGTCTGGGATTCAGTCTTTCTTTCGGCCTCTATAGGATTATTCTGGAAGTATCTGATAGTATCTGAAATCAGGGCTGAGGGGAGCATGGACAGCTTGCGGATGCCATGCCCACGAGTTCCTGCAGGGAGAATGAGGAGCTGGGAGAACGGGAAGGGCTGAAAGCCCCCGCCAGAGTCCTCACTCCTGGTGGAACCCTGTGGACGTTTGACTGTCACAGGATCACTGGGGAGGGTTCAGCCCTACAGAAATCCAGCCTCCGATGCTTGTCAAGAGAGGAACGGAGGAATGTGCGAATGTTCAGTTGCTTTGGGATAGAATATTCCTGTGAGGAGGAAAAATCGTTAGCACGTTCTGATCACATGTTGCTCCCTTTCCCACAGGTAAGAAGAAGACAGGTTGGTCCAGCCACGTAAGGATGGTAGCAAGATGTTTAGTGTTTCACAAATAACTGGTTAGGCAAGATCATTACCACCAAGCTTGTTCATGCCCAAGCGTGTACCCGCAACCACACCTGACTCGCATTCTAGAGAAGCACAATGCTGAGAGCATCATCCCATTTGTTAACACCTTTGGCTTATCAGAAACATCAACTGTTTGTTGGAGGTGGAAAAAACATCAGATTAGGACCAGGTTAGATCTCCTAGATTCTCCGGATCCTTTGCTCTGTAGCTTCTTAAGGCTCTGCCCCCACTTCCTTTTCTTTTCTCTCTCCCTCTTTTTTTTAATTTCACAGGTGGTTCTTTTAGAGCCGTGTGCAATGTTAGGGAACTTTTAGCCAGCTGTAATCCTCCTTTATTCTTTTTTCATTCTGGTGAACTTTGGAGAACAAAAAGATCTTTTTAAAACTCAAGTCATATCACACCACTTTCTAAACTCATCAGTTTTTTATGTTATTATTATTATTTTTTAAAGATTTTATTTATTTGAGAGAAAGTGAATGAGTGAGTGAGAGAGAGGGGAGGGTCAGAGGGAGAAGTAGACTCCCTGCTGAGCAGGGAGCCCTATGCGGGACTCCATCCCGGGACTCCAGGATCATGACCTGAGCCAAAGGCAGTTGCTTAACCAACTGAGCCACCCAGGCGTCCCTATGTTATTATTTTTTTAAGATTTTATTTATTTATTTGACAGAGAGAGAGTGCGCGTGCACAAGCGGGGGGAGCAGCAGAGAGAGAGGGAGAAACAGGTTCCCCGCTGAGCAAGGAGCCTGATGCGGGGCTCGATCCCAGGACCCTGGGATCATGACCTGAGCTGAAGGCAAACACTTAACTGACTTTGCTACCCTGGCGCCCCTCTTATGTTTAGAATCAACACCAACTCCTGACCAAAGCCCCTGAGGCCCCGCGTGACCTGGCATCTCTTCTGTTTCTGCTCCTCGCCCCAGACCTACTGGGCTGCTCACCAGGGTCTTTCCTGTTCTTGTCATGCACGCGTGGCTCAAAGGTGTCTTCTGGAAAGAGTCCCATAAGCTCCCGCCCCAGACCTACTGGGCTGCTCACCGGGGCCTTTCCTGTTCTTGTCATGCACCAATGGCTCAAAGGCGTCTTCTGGAAAGAGTCCCATAAGCTCCCAAGCACCCAACACTCTACCTACCCAGCAGCGCATACCACGTCACCCACCATTGTCACCCACCCACTCACTGCCATCCCCTAGTGAGATGTGAGCTCCCGTTTTGTTTACCTGAACACTCCCCAATGCCTAGACTGTGCCAGGCCCAGAGTTGGGCTCTGGACATTCAAACGAAGAACATCAGACACCAGTGGCTTCATGATTTGGGTTCATTACATTTTCCTGGGAGCGCTCTGGTCCTGGATCCTTAGGCTTTGGCCAGTCGTGGCTGCCCCTCTGCTGGCTGGGGAGGCCCCTAAGGAGTAGGAAGTCTATGGGTTTGGGAGCAAGCACAGGGCTCCTAATATGCATCCAGATTCCCACAGCCTTTACACCCACAGCCAGAGAGGAAGGAGGCATGGGCTGCCCAGGCTGGAAACCAGCTTTCCAGGCTCTGTACACAACCCATTCAGCTCTCAGCTCACCCCCTTCCTCCTTGCCTGAAACAGCAAACTCATGGAAACGTCTTCTGTGGAGACCCAAGAAGGTTGAGTTCGCAGTGACCATCCCAGGATAGAGCTGCCGGGCAGGGTGCAAGAATCACACATACCACCCCTTTCAGAGCACATGGCTTACCATTTGGGGCCCTGCAGGCCCAGCGGGGACATTCCAGCGCCTGCCGTACTCCAGCTCCATCTCGGCCACAGCTGCCCGGCAAAGTGCAGGCAGGGGCCCAGGCAAAGAACCGAGCCATGAGGTAGTTGCTGCTCAGCCCTGCTGCTCTGAAGGTCTGGAAGACACAAGGTGGAAAAGGAGGAAGTCCTGGGTGAGCCCCTAGCCCCGAGGGCCCCAGCAGCAAGTGCCTGGCTCAGAATGGCTCAGAATGGCTCTCTTCCTGGGGATGTCCCCGACAGCTGCGTGATAACGAAGGTTCTGGAAGACTTCGGCTGGAACCATACCTGCTGTCTACTCTGCTAGGTGACTTCTGCCACCAGGAGATCTCTAGGTTAAGATTTGGGAAGGAGGCATGATTGAATGGTTAGGAGGCCACGCTCTGGTGTCTTAAGGACCTAGATTTCCTAAAACTCCAAGATCAGATATTGCAGGCTGAGTGAACTTAAACAAGTCACTTCTTGTTCTTTTCTGGGCCCCTGTTTCCTCATATTCAAAATGGGGTAGGAATGGGGCCCCCTTAAAGGATTGATTTGAGGAGGAAATGGAAAATCACATGGTGGTAATTGGGCAACAACAGGCAGCTGCTTGAGTTTACAGGAGGTTGGGCAGCTGAAGGCAAGGGTAGTTATGAGCCAGCAGTCCAGAGCCTGTGCTCACCTGAATAACGCCATCGGTCGCCTGGGAGACCATGGACGGGGCCACCATTCTCACCATGGCAATATCTAAAGCTGCAGCCTGCAAGGACGAGGAGGAGACGTGGTTAGAAGGGCACACCTGATGGCAGACTGCTTGGAAGAACCATCAGTTTCACCAGGAGGAGTGGAAACAGCCGCTCAGAACAGAGACCCAAGGTCCGGCTGGACCACAAGCTCTGTCAGCAGCTCCTGTTTGGTGCGTGGGCTGTGCCCGGCACCTAGTGAGATGGCGTGGAGGACTCGGTAGTGGTGATGACAAGGTGACCCTGGATGTTGTGTGAGCAAGTGCCGGGCCAAGGACAGACTCAGAAACGTGGGAACACGGACTCCCAGATGACAGAGAGCATCAGCACACACGGCACAGAACGAGGAGTGGCTTGTACCCCACTCAGGGTCACAGCCAGCCCTGTCTCCAACATGACAAGGGACCAAGGCCAGCCAGGACTCTGGGAAATCGAGCTGCAAGGATCTGCCCTGGGTCAGGCATTCGAGGGAGGCCCCTGCAAGCCTCCCCTGTAACTGGCACTACAGTGCCAATGAACCGGGACCTTGAGCCTGGGTGGCCTTCCCATTACTGAGATTCTCAGCTGAGGGGTGGAGGCTGCCGGCAGAAAACAGGGGTCGCTCTGGGCATCGGGCCGGCCCACGAGGGGTACTCAGAAAGAGCCGCTTAAGGGATCATGTCACACTTGAAAATAAATCTCTTTCGGTTAGTTCCTTTGCTTCCTCAGTTTGCTTGATACCTGCACCCCGCGGGGCATAGCTAAGGCCAGGGAACTGTGTGGGCCCCATTGCTCTGCTGTCTTGGACAGAAGTTCACCAGGCCCACAGACAGAAAGTTCAGAACTCTTTTATTGTCCCTTTTCCAGTTTTGAAAAGCTGCCCAAATACTTCCAAGCAGAAGTAAAGCAAAGTTATTAACGTCAAGGAGCCAAGCTCTTTCTCCATGATTTGTTGCACGGGGGAGGAAGCGTCAGTGTCTCTAGAGGCCCAGGCTGGAGTCCCTCACCTTGACCTCACAACCTGTCATCCGTGGGGCCCCTCAGCCTCCCATCCAATTTGCTGCCACGCCTATGAGGTGGGCAGCTTCCTGCACCAGCAGAAAGCTTCTCCATCTCCACGGCCACTGGGCGATGGATGTCTGCCGGGGCTTCCTGAAGGCCCCATGGGACTTCACTTTGGACACAGGAGAGGCAGCCAGAGGGGTGACGCTGGTGGCCCACAGAGGAGGTGGGTGGAAGCACACACGGGAGAAGACAGGACACAAAAGGGAGCAAAGCAGGAACCTGCCACATATCTGCAGTTTGTCAGCCATGTAGCCACAGGCGATTTCCAGGGAGAAGATCCAGACACAGACAACATTGACGTGCACTGCGGAGCTCCCTCGTCACCATGGTGGCTGCAAATTACTTCCAGGAATGCCTCTCCTTCCATGATTCAGCCGCCTCTGGGCAGGCCTGGCTGCCAGACAGAGATCTGAGCTGGCCACTGGCCCATAGCTTCTGGAAATGAGGTAGTGACTGTGGGCTCCTCACAGGCTGGCCCGGCTTCACATCCTCAGAGCACCTGGGAGCAAGGCTGGAGCCCCCTTGTGGGCAATGGTTATTGCAGTGGGGATGCTAGAGTCTCTGAAACTCACAAGCAATCAGAAAAGGTTATAAGGGATTCTTGTATCTTTTCCACTTTTTTTTTTAACTAAAAACAATTATACAAATAATACATTTCATGGCAGAAAAGGTATACATTTTCAGATTAAAAAAGGGGAGAACCTAGGGGTGCCTGACTGGCTCAGTCGAAAGAGCCTGTGACTCTTGATCTTGGGGAGGTGAGTTCGAGCCCCACGGTGGGTATAGAGATCACTTAAATGAATAAATAAATAAAAAAAATTTTTTTTTAAAAGGGAGACAGGGACTCCTGGGTGGCTCAGTCAGCTGAGCGTCTGACTCTTGCTTTCAGCTCAGGTCATGATCTCAGGTTCATGACATCAGAGTCAGCTGGACATTCCCTCTTTCCTTCTGCCTCTGCTCCTACTCTCCCCCCTCAAATAAATAAATAAATAAAATCTAAAAAAGAAAGAGTATATGGTGAACATCTACGTTAAGAAATAGATTTCTCCAGCATCATTTTATTTTTTTAAAGATTTTACTTATTTATTTGACAGAGAGAGACACAGTGAGAGAGGGAACACAAGCAGGGGGAGTGGGAGAGGGAGAAGCAGGCTTCCTGCAGAGCAGGGAGCCCGATGCGGGGCTCGATCCCAGGACCCTGGGATCATGACCTGAGCCGAAGGCAGACGCTTAACGACTGAGCCACCCAGGCATCCCTCTCCAGCATCATTTTAGAGTTTCACTGTAGCTCATACCTGGATTTATCTGACCAGGCTCCTTATAGGTTATCCTTATAAGTTGTTCCCAACATTTTGCTGTTACAATCAGTGTTGCAGTGAACTGCCTAGTATCAAACCTTTTGTTGACTCCTATCTACTCCCGTGTGACCAAGTCCCATGAGTGGAACTGCCACATTGATGCTGTGTACCTTCTGAAGACTTCTGACCTGGATGGTCAAACAGCTCCCCAGGAAGGCTGGTCCGAGTTTCAGCACAGGATGGGGCTGAAGTACCATACCTGAACCTTTAGAGAGGAGCACTTTCTTTTCTTTGTTTTTTAATTTTATTAAGTTTTTAATTTTAATTCCAGTGTAGTTAACATACAGTGTTATATTAGTTTCAGGTGTACAATATAGTGATTCAGCATTTCCATACATTACTCAGTGCCTATCCTGATTAAGTGTACTTTTTTTTTTAAAGTGGGCTCCATGTTTAACGTGGGGCTTGAACTCACGATCTCGAGATTGAGAGTTTCACGCTCTACCGGCTGAGCCAACCAGACACCCCTTTAAAGTGTACTCTTTAATCCCCATCACCTAGTTCCCCCGTCTGCCCACCCCTCCCCTCTAGTGACCATCAGTGTGTTCTCTGCTGTTCAGAGTCTGTTTCTTGGTTTGCTTCTCTCTCTCTCTTTTTTCTCCCCTTTTTGTTCATTTGTTTCTTAAATTCCACTTATGAGTGAAATCATGTGATATTTGTCTTTCTCTGACTTATTTCACTCTAGCTCTGTCCATGTCATTGCAAATGGCAAGATTTCATTCTTTTTTATGGCTGGATAGTATTCCATTGTACGTATATACCACATCTTCTTTATCCATTCATCTACTGATGTACATTTGGCTTGCTTCCATTATCTTGGCTCGTGTAAATAGTGCTGCAATGAACATAGAGTGCATGTATCCTTTAGAATTAGTGCTTTTGTATTCTTTGGGTAAATACCCAGTAATGCGATTACTGGATCATAGGGTAGTTCCATTTTTAATTTTTTGAAGAACATCCATACCGTTTTCCGCAGTGGCTGCACCAGTTTGAATTCCCACCAGCAGTGTTAGAGGGTTCCCCTTTCTCCACATCCTCACCAACGCCTGTTGTTTCTTGTGTTGCTGATTTTAGCCCTTCTGACAGGTGTGAGGTGATATCTCATTGTGGTTTTGATTTGCATTTTCCTGATGATGAGTGGTGTTGAACATCTTTTCATGTGTCTGTTGGCCATCTGGAGGTCTTTGGAGAAATGTCAGTTCATGTCTTCTGCCCATTTTTAATGGGATTATTTATGTGGGTTTTTTGGTGTTGAATTGTGAGGAGCACTTTCTTTTTAAAGAAAAAAGGACTAGTCAGTCTCAGCTCAAGCAGGTGTGAATCATAGAAGGTTCGCTTGGTAATCCAAACACATTGGACCACCTTTGTTCTTGGTACAGAGATTCTTGTGAGACATTTGTTTGGTTTCAAGGGTTTGCTTCATTTTTGTGAAATCAACGGCACTGATTTGAATTACCATTCCCAGCAATAGCTCTCTTTTGCATGGGCTTCCAACCTTTCAGGGGATCAAAGAATAAAGTCTTCTGTGGGACATGCTGGGGGAGGAGGGTGGTATGGGGCTAGACTCTAGAACCCCAGGTACAAAAGCCACCAATGTGGGTTCTCTCTGGTAGCTGATGTTTAAAGATGAGCTAGTAGCGGAAGTGGTCCTCAGCAGCCCATGGCCTTTTGGACCTTGGAACTTTGCCCCCTCCTGCCATAGAGGCTGGCTTTTTCCTTCTGATCACCTCGACAGAGGGAGACTCATTCTGCTCTGAATTTCACACTTCACCAAAGTAACAGATGCAAAGCAAAGACAGAGACACAGCTTCTTGGCAAGAATAGCATCTTGCTTCACCTGCTAAGTGCTCTCAGAAAATGGTTGGGATTTGCGGTCCAAAGGCAAAACAGATGGGTGGCTCCAGGTCAGAGCAGGCACAAGGAGAAGCACTCAGCAGGCTTTCCGAGCACCAGGACCCTCCCTGACGATCCAGTCAGCCATATGCATTGGTGGATCCTGCTGGGATCCAGTCTGCCCTGGGCGATCTTGAAGCCTCGGCCGGGAACCCAGACCATGTTCTCCTCGAGCACCCCTATCTGCTCCGACAGGACTTCACCAGGGCTGCTGAAACACCCAAAAGATTCCCACTGAGCAGTCTGTCTACCTGTTTCCCTTGGATGTGTTTATCCCTTGCAACAGTTCAGGTCACCTGCTGCCAATATTCCTGCCCTTTACTCAGCCTTCTGTCTGGGACATGGTTGATGGGGAAGGGAGGGCAGGAAGGAGCCTATTAAAGAAGAAAAATAAATCAGTGATTTGCTGTGTTAAATGAATATTTTGCCATTCATTTTCTAAAACATGATGACTCTACCTTGAACTGAAACTCCTTGGTGGGATGTGACTCTAACACCGTAGTGATCCTCTGGAAACACTGAAAATAAAAATGTGAGGGCTGTTAGCAGAGAGAAAGAGCCCGTGTGGGCGGGGCCCCAAGCGTGGAAGCCGGCTGTGTGCTGGGATCTAGAAGAGAAAGTTTGTAGCGCCCGCCCCGCCTCCTGCTTCTGTCTTGCGTGGCCTCCTCATCTCACAGATTCTTGTGTATCTTCTAGGTTCAGAAGAGAAAAAAGAAAGTGTAAAAATACCTGTCTGAAATTTGCCTTGTGGTTGATACTCATGTATGGAAATCAAATGCAGGAGCATGTGGCCCTCCCAATGCCATCATATTCATGGAGGTTTTGCGCCCCGATCCAGAACAAGGGCTGCCCAGACCACTTGCCCAGGCCCAGAGCCACACACAGAGGTGAGCCGCTCCTGGGATGCTAACCCGGAGCATCCTCCAGCCCATCCGCTGCCACAGCCTGGGTGATTTTCATCCCTGGAGTATCCATGGGAACCAAGAGCATGATGCTGCCACTGGCTTGGGGCCTGTGGGTCTGTTTTTCCCCTAAACACACCAAGCTGGCAGCGAGGATCCGGGATGGAGAGGAAAGGAGAGAGACAGGCCCTCTCATCTGCTGCCAGAGCCATGAGCTCTCTTCGCAGACGCAGTCGGGCCCAGGAAAGCCACAGCCAGCAGGCAGATAGAGCTAAGACCTCACGTAATCAGATGAGTGCACGCGGGCTCCTGACTAGAAATGAGAGCTGCTGGTTTTTGTCCCCGTGAGGAATGAATCCAACATCATAAGAGCAATTGTTTTAAAAAAGCACCACGTAGAGTTGAAAATATAATATAGAGACAAGAGGCTGAAAACTGCTACATTATCACCGGCAGCCCGTTCTGCTCTTCCCACAGGCGCCGTCAACGTAAGGGGCACAGGCTTCAGAATCATGCCAACCCTGCATTTTCGGTTCCCTACATGTGGGCAGGGGCCTAGCACCTTAGGCAAGTGACTCAAGTCGCTTCTCGGTCCTAGTTTCCTGCTCTGTCAGATGGGGGTGATAATCCGTACCTCCTGCGGAGGTGACGTCCACACAGCACTTAGGGAGGGTCCTGCAGAGCGAATGTAGGATGGAGGGCAGGATTCTCACTGGTCCCCTGTGCTCTTGCACATGTGATCTCACAGGAGGGGGAAGCCACTGACAGGTGACCTTCTGCCTTTACACCGGGGTTGCCCAGGGCCCACTGAAGACGGTGGGACAGTGAAGGAGAGGTTCCCAGCGCGTCACATGTGTGATGCATCTGGTGACCCACGTAGGACCTCCGGTTCTCCTGGGCTCTGCTGCCTCTGTTGGGAGCACGGAGACAGACTCTTCTCTGCATCCTGTTTCCCAGGCAACAGCAGGGCAGAGAGAGAGACATGCTTATCAACACAGACCCAGGGAAGTGTCATGGAAAAATGAATGTCAGGCCAAATGCCTGAGATCCACCCCTGGTGACTGTGATGTAGAAGCTCTTCTCTCAGATGGAAGACTCAGGTTGGTGGCAACTGATGAGGCGACCTGAGTGAGATCACATCGGCCTAGAGCTGGCCAGAGCCCCTCACTCCCGGCTCCCTGCCCAGCCGAGCCTGGAAGGGCCCCACAGGGGTCTGGCCTGGTGAGGAGGAGTTCCAGTGGGTGGTGCCCCAGGCGAGGGGCGGGGGGGCGGGGCTGGGTCCTAGCAGAATGGGAGCTGGCCTCTCCCTCTGGCAACAGAATCAGCCAGTGGGCCTTTTGCTCCTGGGCTGTATTGCACCAGAAGCTTCATGTTCCCCAAATCTGGAGCAGAACAATTAAAGATCTGAAAAGGAGAGAAGGCATTACAGTGACTCCCGTGTCCATATTCAAAATTTCAAATACCCTGAAAGCCTGAGCCGGAGCTCCTTCCAAGTCACATTGCCCTCTGACACCTTCCTGAAGGTTCTTTCCGAAGCCCAGCCATGAACCTCCTTTGCTGAAAGAAAACCAACTGGAACTGGGGGGCCAAAGACTCACAGAAGCCAGCCAGGCCCATGACTCGCCTGGCTTCCGTCTTTTCTGGAAGACTCCCATCCTGAGCTGCTTTCTTGCTTTGGCTCCAGCCAGCTGCTGGAAGCCGTCCTCCCTCATGAGCAGTTTGAGTTCGGATGTGTTCCTGCAGCCAGTGAAGCCAGAGGGAAACCCGAAACATCGGAGGGGGACTGGTGTTCTTGCAGAGAACTAGAATATCCTCGTACGCTCAGGAGAATTGTAAAGGAGGAAACTCGGGAGCATATAGACATGCCCGGGAGTTCACACAAATGTGCACACTCAGTGTTGGTCAGTCCTGCTCCGTATTTTTTTTCTCAGAATCCGTCTCCAAGGGTAGGAAAAGCTTCCAAAGTCTTTCAGCCTTGGCTTTCTCCAGGAAAAATAAGTCAGGGAACTACAGTGGATGATTTTTTTATTTTGGCCTATGGAAAATCATGAAAGGGATTGGAAGGAGGAAAGTAGAGAGCCAGAAATGAAGTGTGTGCCAAAAATAATGATGTGAGTCAGCATCATCGGGCTGGAGAGAAAGCCTGCAGATTTGTGGGCGGGGTGAGCATGAGGAGGCCTGGGGTGCGGGGTCCTAGCTGTGATGGTGGCTGTCGGTTCACTCCCTGCAGTCTCCATATCCCAGACATCCCACGTACCCCACCCTCCACCGTTGTTAGCATTACTAGGGTTGTAATGAATCTTCTAGAACATGCGCCGTGAACACAGGAGACTGAAGGATCCATTAGCGTGCCTGATAGGAACCAGGCCCAGTACATGTGGCGGCAGCCTCAGCTGCTTTGATATGGTGCATAAGCACACCCCTGAACCAGCTTCCCTGATGAGGGGACAAGTAACCCCAGATTTCTAAATGTAGCTCCTAGCCAGGTAACTAGGAAGTCTAGCCTGAGGGTCAGGAACTCGGGCCTTCAGTCAGATTACGCAGTTTAGCGCCATTCCTGCCATACCTGCCGGGCAAGATATTTGATCAGTTTCTTCATCTGTGAAACAGGACATAACTACCCATACATCAGTCAGGATTACTGAGTTGTAGCAGTGAACACCAAGTGTCGCTAACTAACGGGGAAAAAAGGAACTGAATGGAAAGGTTCTCAGGGGCTCAGGTTAGAGAATGAGGCTCTGCAACAGATACCCTAGAGGATCACAGGGGACAGGACACGCAGCAGTCCTCCTGGGGAACGAGGGAACGCCAGTGTTTCTTCTTGAAATACCGTCCAGAGAGTCTGGCTGGCCTCGCTTGGCGCACGTGCCCACTTCTTGGCCAAGGAGGGCTGGACTGGCACCCTGACAATTTGGCCACTGTATCCAAAGGGGGGAAAGGAGTGCCCCCAAATGAAACTAGGATGCTGCCACCGAGAAAGGGGACTGAACCCTAGGCAGCCCAAACCTAAGCAGGGTCTACAATGCCCACCTGACTGGGCTGTTTTAAGGGTTAAACGAGATGACACAGGAATATAAAGTGTCTGACACAGAAGCCGACGGCTGCACTCAATGTTAGCGATTATGAATATGATCACCGCCACTTCTTCTTACGGGGAGGGGGCCGGCTAGCCTGACTTTTACACCGATATTGGGCCTGGTCTAATGATGTATTTCCAGTATCAGTACATGCACTGGTCTCACCATTTGTATTAAGCTCAGTAGCTCTAAGTGCAATCACCAAGGAGCGAAAGGGCAGATTAATTGGAACAAATAAAGTAGGCTGGGGGGTGGGGAGTAAGAAGCAAGGGAGTTCTGAGGAGGCAGAATTAAGGAAATGGATCTAATCATGTCCTTGTGTATGTGTGGGGAACCCACAGAATTTGAACCCGGGAGCTCTGGACAGGAATCCAGACGCTAGTATTCCTAGCTGGATAAATCCCTGGACAAATCCGTTTCTTTTCCTTTAAATTGAGGTTAACAAGGCATACCTCACAGCATTCGTGAAATGCACCAGAAATGGCCAAATTCATCTTTCTATTTATGGGAGTAATGACATTTGGGATAAAAGCCATGAGCTACAGTTTCACCACTTTACCCACAAATCTTACTTATCATCACGTTCCCATTCAGATATAACTGGAAGTAGAAGGATCCCTACTCTAGGTTTTGCCTCAGCATTCCTTTTAGAGTCTGGAGGTGTTTGCATGAGTGTTTCCTTTTCTAGTGCTTCTGTGCCCTTGACGGGCTTACATTACATGCCCGAGGATGAAGTATGCTGGCCGGAAGCAGTGGTGGGAAGAGCAATTCGTGCATTACTGATGGGGGCATAAATTAGTAAGCACCTTCCTGATCAAAACTTGGCAATATTTGGGCACCTGGCTGGCTCAGCTGGTGGAGTGTGTGACTCTTGATCTCAGGGTTGTGAGGTTGAGCCCCATGTTGGGTGTAGAGATTACTTAAAAATTTAAAAATCTTAAAAAAAAAACCTTGGCAATATTTATTAAAACATTAAATGATCTCATTCTTGGAACAGTATTTTTACTTAAAAGAATTTATCCTGTCGTGGAAACAGTAAATGTACATAGAAGTGCGTAAGAGCATTCAATGCACCTTGCTTGCACAGGACCCAGACCACCTTCTTCTTTTTCTTTCTCTTTCTTTCTTAGTAGGTTCCATGCCCAGCGTGGAGCCCAACTCAAAGCCTGAATTCACGACCCTGAGATCAAGACCTGAGCTGAGATCATGAGTCGGACGCTTAACCAACTAAGCCACCCAGGCACCCCAAATCACCTTCTTATTCTGGAGGACTCCCTCACTATATAAATTTTGATGGGATCAAGGCAGTCTCCTACTGCAGAAGGTGAAGGGGGCCAGAACTGCCCTCCTTCTCCCTGCTTCATGGCAATGAAGGCGTGGCCTTGGGACCTACTCCCCGGATCCCCTGCCCTCTGAAAATTCCCATCTCAAACTCCAGAGTCCTGAGGAAGCTTCCCAAAGAACCTCCCAGCCGGCTGCTCTTGTGACAGCCTTGGCCACACTCCCTGTGGCCTGTCTTTGCTTGACTTCTAAAGGTGGGTCTTCAGCCTCCCTGTCCATGTCAGCAGCTAGCTAATGTCCTTTGCTGCTTAAGTGATCAAGAATGACGTAGCCTGCCAAATGAGATACCCTCGGTGTCCCTCAGCCAAGGGGAGGATAGACAAATTACATACACCCATACTGCGAAAACCCTGGACGGTCCATCTCCAGGTGCTGATGTGTCATTAAATTAAGCAAGTGGGAGATGCGAATGTATACAACAATCCCATTACAACATTGGAATATGTTAGTATGTAATAGAGAAAAGCAGCTGGGAGCCTAATACGCCAAGCTGTTGACAGTAATTATCTTCAGAGAGCAGAGAATTTTAGAGAAGTCTTTCTCTGTCATGAACTCTTTTTTACTCGTCATGTTTGAGCTTTGGTTATTTTGCAATTGGCTTATAACCAGAAAAAAAGTGATAATGCCATTTTATTAAAAAGCCGGTGGTGGCTGCATCATAAGCAAAACGTGTGCTTCTCCTGAAGATCTCAAATAACTTAAAAACTCACACAAGCCAAGACTCCTCCTGACAACAGAAGGAATTTCCATTATCAGCTAACGTGGTGTCCCTGTCAACAGTTGGCAGTGGGGGCTCTAGCCCTCTGGCTTTGACATTACGGATTCTTCAAAGAGAGACTTTATGAACTGATGCATTTTATTTCACACACTTCAAATTTACATAATACAAATATGCATAAAATAATGAGCCCACGTGTCCCAGGGGCATGAACCACAGACGTGGTGGGTCCTCGGGCAGGGCTGAGTTACCCCACGAGGACATGGTCTCACAGAGCCATGAAGTGAAAACTGAGGCATCTTAGAGCTGGCTCTTCCCGATGATGATGGAAAGCAAAGATAATTCACCTCAGCCCTCCCATCTCTTCCCTGCCTCTGAGGGGAACAGACGTGTCCAGTCAGTGCACTGAGGTTCTGCCGTGTTGATGACATCTTACCACCTCTCTGTTGAGGTGTTCCATCGGCAGGGAAGGGGTGCGTCCCCCACTGAGGCTTGGTGAGTCCACAGCTCTGACTCAGCGGGCTGCTGCAGTCACAGGTACAGCCCCCGGAGTGGTGGGGAAAGGCCCTCTGGACGGATAACCAAAGCTCCCTTTGAGGCCTAAGCTGGGGAAGAGTCTGTGAAGACGATGTAACTGCTCGTGCCGGGGGTGCTCAGCAGGAGCTGTGACCAGCCTGAGTGTGGTAGGACCTCACTAGTGGTTTTGTGGCTGGCATCTCTTTGAAAACCCGGAACCCTTCTTTGACTGCAAAATCCCAGGCCAGGTTAGACATATATTCAGTCAGCTTTTCATTTTGTTCGGCGGCTGCCAAGCTTGCTTGCCCTAAGCAGAAACAAAGAAAAACAGTGATTACTCCCAAACGACCCTTCACAATAATGCTATTAGCAGCGACTCCCATTTGCTAAGCACTTGCCACGTTCCAGACTCGGTGCTAAGTGCTCTGCGTGTATGATTAAAGCTCACTGAATTCCTGAAGCACGATGATGGTTTTATTCCCCACTTTACGGACAAGGATCTGGGTCTTAGAGCGGAGGCATGCCCACGCTTCCATCAGTGGGCTGGGAGCCAGGAGTCAAGCTCAGCTGGACTGCTCCCTGCTCCTTCCCTCTAAAGAAACTAATGAAATCAGGAAGACCCCCGGTCGCTTCTGCTGTCACCAGTGGGCTATTCAGAGTCCTGCACTACCCTAAACTGTCCCTGATGCAAAACTGTTACAGGGTCACTGGGGACCAGATTAGTGGCTGGTCTCTGGACCCCGCTCTGCACAGATCACTGCTCTCTTCTTTTTTAAATACGTGCATCAAGACAATTTTTGAGAAGGATTTTTTTAATGTAAAAATTTTTTAAGATTTATTTATTTCAGAGAAAAAGAGCAAGTGTGCGTGTATTCTAGCACATGCATGCGTGCAAGGAGAGGGGAGACAGAGGGAGAGGGGAAGCAGACTCCTCGCTGAGCAGGGAGTCCACAAGGGGCTCCATCCCACAACCCTGAGATCATGACCTGAGCTGAAACCAAGAGTCGGGCACCTAACCGACTGAGCCACCCAGGCGCCCCTTAATGTACATTTTTTAAAAATTGAGGTATAGTGTATATACACCCTCTTTATAAAAGTGTACAATTCTGAGTTTTGTCAGGTAACCAGCACTGTCATCAAGATACAGAATATGCCCATCATCCCCAAATTTCCATGGTATCCCTTTGTACTCAATCCTTTGCCCCAGCCCCTGGCAACACTAATCTCTTTTTTTTTGAATCTCTACTTCTGTAGTTGGTCTTTCCTGGAATGTCACAGAAGTATATACATCATAGGGTGTGTAGTCTTTCAGCGCAGCTTTTGGCATTCGGTGGACCGCATCTGACATCCAACTATGAGTGTGTGCATTGAGTCCTTATCGCGAGCTTCTTTACAACCAGCTCTCCTAGGTTATTTTTAGCCTTTCCACATTCTAAATACTTTTTTAAAAAGATTTTATTTATTTATTTGACAGAGAGACGTGAGAAAGGGAACATAAGCAGGGGCAGTGGGAGAGGGAGAAGCAGGCTTCACGCCGAGCAGGGAGCCCGATGCGGGGCTCGATCCCACGACCCCGGGATCATGACCTGAGCCCAAGGCAGACGCTTAATGACTGAGCCATCCAGGCACCCCACCTTCCCACATTATAAGGAGACTGTGTTTTCCTCGTTCTCTTTGTATCAATAAATGGATCTTTCCAGAGGCCTGCTTTTCTCCTGGCCCCTGCTGTGGTCAGTTTCCCACGAGAGCCATTTTCACACAGGTTTGGTGTTAAAGATACTATGCTATTCCTTACAAATGAGGAACCAGATCCATCTGCTACATAGCAGGGAATGCAGGCCACTGGACAAGTCTTTACTCAGCACCTGCTCCGTGCTAGGTACGGAGCTGGGCCCCAGGGATGGGGGGGGCAGTCGGGAACCAGACAGCCTCCTTCCTGGAGCCACACGCGCAGTGAGGACGGAGCACAAGAGGAGCATGAAGCCACTCGCGTGGCACACAGGATCTCGAAACTGTCAAGTGGTGTCTTGATAGCCAATCGGGGACAATCCAATGTAGTTTATGGGTGTAGAGATTCCAGAATGGATAATTCAGAATCCACTCAGCCTATTCCAAGGCACGGGAGCAGGATCCAGTGAGAACACAGTAGTCCCCTAGAAAATGTCTACAGATAGTTAGGCCTGTTTGGCACCTCATGGACCCAGCAGCCCTCTGCTTAATTAAATATTTCTGGTTAGCTTTCATTGCAAAGCCGTAACACAAATTAGGAAAGGGTGGTTAGAGCTAAAGCTGCCTAGGGGAAGGGAAAATATGGTTTCCAAGAATTCCTGCTTATTGAGACCTCTATTATCAGATCACGGAGGGTTAAACTGGAAATCCTCCGGATGCTGATTTTTCTCTGGACACTGTTTTGCTCACAACTTTGTATTTTGCTAGTATCACCCAGCACAATACCTGGCTTAGTAGAGGTTCAGATACTTCTGAATGAATGATCAATTCCCTGACTGCAACTGCCCTTCTCGTTAGAATATGGGAACCTGGCTGAGGTCCACATGCTGCCACCAGGCTTGGGGTATTGACGACCTCAAAGCTAAGACGTTCCTGCAGTACTAGCAAACCTACTGCTGGGTTTCTTTCTAATCACATTTCATTTTGGAGAATTTCAAAGATACACACAAATGGAGCAAAGAGCATAATGAATCTGCAAGTGTCTGTCACTGAGCTTCAACCATCATTACAGCATGGCCAATCTTGTTTCATTCTCTGTCATCCCCACCCTCACTGCCCTGGGTTTTTCTGAAGTAAATCCCAAACATCGCATCATTCCATCTATGAATACTTCATTTATGTCTAATAACAAAGGCTTAAAAACACACAATACCATCATCATGCTTAAAAAAGTTAACTATGCCTCCTTGAGGGGCACCTGCGTGGCTCAGTCGTTAAGCGTCTGCCTTCGGCTCAGGTCATGATCCCAGGGTCCTGGGATCAAGCCCCGCGTCGGGCTCCCTGCCCGGCGGGAAGCCTGCTTCTCCCTCTCCCACTGCCCCTGCTTGTGTTCCCTCTTGCTGTGTCTCTCTCTGTCAAATAAATAAACAAAATCTTAAAAAACAAAACAAAACTATGCCTCCTTGATGTCATCAACTGTCTAGTTAGAATTCAAATTTCACTATCTCATAAAAAAATTTTTTTTAAAGATTTTATTCATTTGACAGAGCAAGAGAGCACAAGCAGGGGGAACAGTAGACACTTAACCACCTGAGCCACCCAGGCGCCTCTCATAAAAAATTTTTTTTATAATTTGTTTTTTCAAATAGGGATCTAAAGATTCAAATGCTATAATGGCTGACGTGTCTTTTAAATCCACCCCCTTTTTAAAGATTTTATTTATTTATTAATTATTTATTTTACAGGGGGGGAGAGAGAGAGAGAGAGAGAGCACCAGAAAGGAGGAAGGAGCGGAGGGAGAGGGAGAATCTGAGGCAGACTTCCCCCTGAGCATGGAGCCCTATGCGGTACTTGGTACTAGATCTCACGACCCTGAGATCATGACCTGAGCTGAAACCAAGAGTCAGATGCTGGACACTCAACCGACTGAGCCACCCAGGTGCCCCTTAAGTCCCTTTTGATCTGCAGCTTCCATTTTCATCTTTTCTCTTCCCCCTTGACATTCATTTGTTGAAGAATCTGTGAAGTGTCCCCAAATCTGGACTTGGTGAGCGGCTGTGCCCCAGGGGTCCTATTTAACATGCTCCTCTGAACCCTGTTTCCTGTGAGGTGGTAGTTAGCACTACAGACTCGGTCAGATCCAGGTCTGACTTTTGGGAGAAGCACCGGGAGGTACATAATGTCTGGCCGTCTCTCTCTTGCTGATGTTGGCACCATTGATGCTTATTTTCCAGATCCATTAATGTATTAGGGATGGAAAATTGGTGATCTGTTAATTCTGTCATTTTGTCTGGGATGCTTTCCTAGAGAGAAGCTTTCTCTCATCAGTTACTTGGTTAGCCTGACCTAGAACTTGTATATGAAAGGCAGGATAAATCCTTCATTTTTTTTTCCCTTTATTTATCAATTTTTAGAATAATGGGTTGGTTTTCTGGTGTCCTCCCAAAGCCACCAATGAGATTTTGACTCTGTTTTAGTGTTGCTCTTTACTCATGGATGTAAACACACTTGATGGGTTCCCATCCATTTCAGCTTCATCCTTACTGGTGCTCAATGTATCCTGTCATTAGCAAGTGGGGGCCTATTCAGGCTGGCTCCTGGGTGCTGTAGATATGACCCCAGTTGTCTTCAACAGCTCCCTCACTTACTGGTATGACAGGGTGCTCCAGGCTCACCTGTAGACGTCCTGCCCTTGAGCTGAACACAGCTACTTCTCTAAGCAGTCCCAGTTCCTTTTGGTGGGAATGGAATTTAGAGATTATGACATGGGGAAAACTGGGAGTATATAATGCTACTAGGATAGCCACCATTTCTAGGACTTTCTGGCAGGTTGTATGTGCTTTCTTTCTGCCCGTCTTCCTTTCCACATAGGAAGCAAACTAATCTGCCTTCTATCTTCTTAACTAATTTAGGAGAGAGATTATTTCATTTGCTATAAGATCTAGAATTAAAATAAGATTGTGGGGGCGCCTGGGTGGCTCAGTCGTTAAGCGTCTGCCTTCGGCTCAGGTCATGATCCCAGGGTCCTGGGATCGAGCCCCGCATCGGGCTCTCTGCTCCGCGGGAAGCCTGTTTCTCTCTTTCCTACTCCCCCTGCTTGTGTTCCCTCTCTCGCTGTGTCTCTCTCTGTCAAATAAATAAATAAAATCTTTAAAAAATAAAAAAAAAATAAAAATAAATAAATAAAATAAAATAAGATTGTGCCATACTGTCTTATATATACATATATACGTATACCTATATACATGTAAAGACTCTATAGGTGATACGTTCTTTTATATATACATATCCAACTCAACTGTTAGCACTTAACTTTTGTCCCCAGAAGTTCAGAGGAACAAGATATAATGTAGAACCAACTCCAGCTAGTTAAATAAAGCATTTTCCCATGTATGGAGAAGCACCATCTAAGAAAACACATCTTTTTTCTCCTTCAGCAATCCCCTTACTGGGCAATTTGGCAACATCTACAAAATTTTAAAATGCACATACTTTAACTTAGCAATGCAAATTCTGGGAATTTATCCTTCAGGTGTATTCACACGTGTGAAAAAGGATGTTCACCAACCACCATTTGTGATTGCAAAAATGTGCAAACAATCCAAAAATACGTCAGTAGGAGAATAGGTTAAATAAATTAGGCTAGGGGCACCTGGGTGGCTCAGATGGTTGAGCGTCTGCCTTCGGCTCAGGTCATGATCCCGGGGTCCTGGGATCGAGCCCCGCATCGGGCTCCCTGCTAGGCAGGGAGCCTGCTTCTCCCTCTGCCTCTGCCTCTCTCTCTCTCTCTCTCTCTATCTCTCTGACTCTCATGAATAAATACATAAAACATTTTAAAAAATAATAAAAAAATAAAATAAATAAATTAGGCTACATCCATACAATGGAACTTACTATGGAAATCAAAAAGAATGATGTATATCTGCACATACTCATGTGGAAAGGTATCTATGAAATATTGTTAAGTGCAAAAAGAAAAGCAAGGAATGTATCTTATGTTTTTGTAAAGTATATATATGATAATCATATATACGTGTATATCCTATACATACACACAGCATATCCTACACGCACACACACACACGGCATATCCTACATGTACACATACACAAATATTTCATAGGAATTCTTAAGCATAAAAAATTTTAAAATCAAGGTACAAAAAATGCATGTAGGCTGATCACATTTTTGTAAAACTTAGAGCGAAAGACGCCTGGGTGGCTCAGTTGGTTAAGCGTCTGCCTTTGGCTCAGGTCATGATCCCACGGTCCTGAGATGGAGCCCAGCATCAGGCTCCTTGCTCTGCGGGGAGCCTGCTTCTCCCTCTACCTCTCCTGCTCCCCCTGCTGTGCTCTCTCCCTGGCAATAAATAAATAAATAAATAAATAACATCTTAAAAAAAAACCTTAGAGATAAGATAGATGCACAGAAAAAAATGGGGGGCCCAGTAAGGGTGATATTTATCTTTGAGAAATGATACTGAGAAGAAAGGAAAATAATTTTGTATTCTTTATGATTTAATTCTTATCATGTAGGTTTTTACTTTAATTTTTTTGTATGTTATGTTAATACTTTTTTAAAAGTTTGGGCATGTGGGTGGCTCTGTCGGTTGAGCTTCCGACTTGTGATTTAGGTTCAGGTCATGATCTCATGGGTCGTGAGCTCGAGCCTCAAGTCAGGCTCTGTGCTCAGTGGGGAGTCTGCTTGAGATTCTCTCTCCCTCTGCCCTTCCCTCCACTTGCACATGCTCGCTCTCTCTCTCTCTAATGAATAAATAACTTTTTTTTTAAAGATTTTATTTATTTATTTGAGAGAGAGAGAATGAGAGATAGAAAGCAAGAGAGGGAAGAGGGTCAGAGGGAGAAGCAGACTCCCCGCCGAGCAGGGAGCCCGATGTGGGACTCGATCCTGGGACTCCAGGATCATGACCTGAGCCGAAGGCAGTCGCTTAACCAACTGAGCCACCCAGGCGCCCTGAATAAATAACTCTTAAAAAATAATTTTTAAAAGTTTAAATGTTTGAATGAATATATATATATATGCCATTAATGACAGATGGTTGCATTAACTGAATCTTGTAGAATTCTGGCAAACTGGTCCCTCCAAAGCCTCTGTGGCCACAGGGGGGCTCCTAGGAGGAGAAGCTGTTGGCTGTGACTCCAACCCTGAGGCAGCATTACCTGGGAGCGAGCGCTTGTAGACTGTTTGCAGGGTTGCAGCCATGCGGAAAAAGGAGAAAGCCATGTAAAAGTTCCAGTTCTCAGCGGGAGGGATCTCCGAGTGATGGCAGTACATCATGAAATACTCCTCTGCGGTAGGGATGCCCAGCTGAGTGAAATCACAGTCACGCAAACCTGAGGCGACAGACAGAGCCATCTCTGGGCGGGCAGTCAGTGACCCCCCAACCCCCTGTGGCCGCAGGGATCTAAATTGTGAAAATCATTTCCTCCCTTGGCAATGAGCTTCACAGCTAGTTCACAGGCTCAACTCCTTATTTCAGCAGCTCTTCTGCCCTCACAAGGCTGGGATCCCGGCTTGAAGCTATTCACAAATTGGCCCTCAAAAGTTTCAGACTAAATTGGCAGTAAAGGCAGGCAGCCTGGGTGGCTCAGTTGGTTAAGCGTCTGCCTTAGGCTCAGGTCATGATCCCAGCATCCTGGGACTGAGTCCTGCGTGGGCTCCCTGCTCAGCGGAGCATCTGCTTCTCCCTCTCCCTCTGCCCCTCCCCCCTCGCTCATGCTCTCTTGCTCTCTCTCTCGCTCTCATGAATAAATAAAATCTTTAAAAAAAAATTGGCAGTAAAGGAAGGTGTAAGAGGCCTCCACTTCCATCTGGACCATAGTTCAGGGTGGATGCATATTATTTTCCATCAGCCATTTGGTAAAAAATGGTACTGAAAGAAAAATCCTGATCCTGGGGTGCCTGGATGGCTCAGTTGGTTAAGCATCCAACTCTTGATCTCAGCTCAGGTCTTGATCTCAGGGTCGTGAGTTCAAGACCCACACTGGGCTCCATGCTGGGCGTGGAGCCTACTTTAAAAAAAAAAAGATCCTGGGTGCCTGGGTGGCTCAGTTGGTTAAGCGACTGCCTTCGGCTCAGGTCATGATCCCGGAGTCCCAGGATCGAGTCCTGCATCGGGCTCCCTGCTCAGCAGGGAGTCTGCTTCTCCCTCTGACCCTCTTCCCTCTCATGCTCTCTATCTCTCATTCTCTCTCTCTCAAATAAATAAATAAACTCTTAAAAAAAAAAAAAAAGATCCTGCCAAATTATGAAAACATAATTACAACAAATAAACAGTTTTACTGATTTGCTTCATTTGTAACCTTCTCATGGCCTAAAGAAGCATGTAACACATTTTGTTCCCAGGACTTTGTCCAGGAGTATACCTTATAATATAGGCGAAGTTATTCCTACAAAGATGTTCACTGCCTTTTTTGTGAGTGTTGGGGGGAAGTAATATAAAAGAAATCAGAAACAAATTAAATATCCAAATATAATCAAATGTCTTTATAAAAAAGGAATCAAATGTCTTAAGTTAATTCTATTCAATAAAATCCTATTCCATGATTAAAAATGATGCTGTAGAAAAAATACTTAATGGCATGAAAACATGTCCAAAATACATAATTGAGAAAAGGCAGGCCATAAAATCATAGAATCGCATTTTCATTTAAACAAACGTATGTATGCACGCAGAAAGATGAAAATGTTGGCAATGGTCATGACTGGGTCTAGCCATGACTTTAACTTTTACTTTTGTTATCTGTTGGCTCCAACATTTTAAAATAAACTTGTATTTTTAATTTAGAAAATTAAATAGAAATTAGTTGTGTAAAAACATAAGAGGGGTCTGTGCACACATCCTTCTCACTTAAAATACACCCTACCATCTCCCCGCACTGACAGGAATGCATTCCAAGTACATTTTCCACCCAAACCACCAGGACCTCAGTTTCATGTGCCCACACCATCCGCCATCACCGCCACCTTTGTGCCTCGGGTGTTTTGAGAATGGAGCTGCCTCGTTCCCTCTTCCTTGCCCCTGAGCAGTTCCTACCTCGCAGCAGGGAACCGGGAAAACTGGATGGCAGGTAGTGAGCCAGGCAGCTGAAGGCCACGTCTGCAAGGGGGTCGCCTAAGGTAGAGAGCTCCCAGTCAAGGACAGCAAGCACCTCAGCCTTCTCTGGATGGAACAGCAGGTTGTCCAACCTGAGTAAGCCACAGAAGGAATGGAGAGACAGCTCTAAGGAAAACTGAGCACTGGGGTGTGTTCTGTGCTGAGTGTCTTCCATTTGCCCCTCCAAATGCACTCCGCACCCTCTCAGCCCCTCGGTGCCCCTGTCCACGAGCTCCCCTGCCCTCTGGCTCCGGTGGGCTCAGCCGATGAGGACACCAGCAGGAGACGGGGAAGGGGGCAGATGGCTGAGGGATGCTGTATTCCTCTCCCAGGGGCCGGTTTTGGTCAGGTAGCCCTCTTCAAATAGCAATCCTCTCTGGGATCCCTCCTTCCCTGTGATGGGTTTAAAACAGGTCTGCAAGTTCTTGGACACTCCTTCCACAAAAGGAAGAGTCTTAAGTCTTTGCTGCTTGAAGCATTTGGCTTCTAACAGGTGGAAGTGATGCTAAGTGACTCCAGAGCCTCGCTCAGAAAAGGGCATCAGCTCCTGAACAGCGCTCTCTTGGAACATACACCTTTGCAGCCCTGAGCCCCCAGGGAAGCAGTCCAGATACCCAGAAGCTGCTATGCTGGAGACACCATGTGGGGACCACAAAGAGACAGAGAGAGGCCCAAGGAGCCCAGCTGTTCAGTCTTCTCTGCCTCAGGGCCAGGCATGGGAGCAACCCCCCAGGAGAGCCCAGAGCCCAGCCTGACAGCCACCCCAGCTGAAACAAGTGATCCTTTCCCCAAACCGCAGATTCGTGAGCAGAACAACTTCTGTCGTTGTTTGAAGCCGTGCGATTTGGAAGATTTTTATGTGGTCACAGTAACTGGAGCACCTGTGTGCACTTTCAAACCTGGGAGCAATACAACAGCCCCCAGTCATAATGAATTATCTGGCCCCAAATGTCAACAGGCCAAGGTGGAGAGACCCTGCCCTAGAAGGTCATGCACACGTAGATCCTTTGTAAAGGGAATCCTCCTCAACTGTAAATTGGACTCAGGCTAGCTGCTTAATTTCCCCTTCAACTGCCCTGGCCATCATTTTTCACATCTAGATGTTCACCCCTCCTCATAGTCGTGCCTACCTGAAGTCCCCATGCACCACTGTCGTGTTCTGTCGCCTGGGAAGATGGTGGGGCAGCCATTGGATGAGCCTCTCCATCGCGGGGATGGTGCTGGTTTCTGAGGCTCGATACTGCTGAATCCAGGTTTGCACCTGCCGTGGAATATAGTCCCCTGAGGGAAAGAGAATTCGAACAGGTATGCCACTCTAACATCCTCCAAAGGTTCCAGAAAGTAACCAAAACAGTGAAAGCCCTGATAATGCTCTTCTGATGACCTATGAGTTTCTCACAGAATGCTCCCACCACCGTGGCTGGATCAATGTGATGTGGATGTTGTTCCCAGCCACAGGGCCCAAAACCTTATCCCTGGCCCTCTCAGACTTCCTACAAGCTTCCTAGGAGCCTTTAAGAAATCCCTTTTTGGCTGAACAACAGTGGTTGGCTAAACACATGGACTCTGGGACCAGACTGCCTGGGTGTGATTCCCAGTTCTGCCATTCTCTATCTTTGTGATCTCTGACAGGTCACTTAATATCTCTGTACCTCCGTTTTTCTTCATCGATGAGATGCTCCTCAGAGAGTTGTTGGGAGGATAAAATTATGTAAAGTCCCTGGAGATGTTCCTGGCATGTAGCAAGTACTACATGAGCATTTGTATCATTATTCAGCTGTTTGCTAAGAAACCCAAGAGATACCACCATCGAGAAACTTTTGAGTTATATCTGGGACTGGACACTGGAAGAAGTTCTGAAGTCAACTCGGCTCAGTCAAGGTCTTCAGTTGATTTAACCTCTCGAGCCTCCCTTGCTGCTTCTGTATGAATGTACTGACACCTAAATTCCAAAGGACTGTTGTGAAGGCTAACCAAAATCCATACGTAACAGGCCAAATACTGAGCTGCACAGATGGCAGCTCAATGAATGGTGGCCATATTATTGTCCTGATTATTGTCAACTGGACAATTATTAATTGTCACTGTTAATATAATTAATAAACGTGTCAGCTCCCTGGCTCTAAGCCAAGCCTTCATCCCTCAGCTGAGAGAAAAATGCGTCCCAGAGGCTGAAGGGTTTGAAGACAAGGTTAGAGAGATCAAGCTCCTTCTGTGGAGTCCATTGCACAGCTGGAGCGTCTAGACACCTGCCCTTTGCAAGATCTAGTTGGGCCATGAGAAGTGGAGGTCAAAGTCCACAGGAATGTAATCGAAAACAAATCAAGCCTTTAGACATAACTTCTAGTTTTCAGAATTATAGGAAACAGAAGACAGAAGTAAATGAAACCATAGGAAATAATCAAGACAAATATATAAACAACTGATTTAGTCTGTTAAAAAATTCATTGAAAAAAACAGGTGGTAGAGGGACTGTTCTAGATTCCTTGATCAGATCCCGATTTAGCAGGGGGAAAAATTCATTTATAAAAAATATAAGGGGAGGGGCACCTGGGTGGCTCAGTCAGTTAAGCATCTGACTCTTGATTTTGGCTCAGGTCATGATCTCAGGATCCTGAGATTAAGCCCCACATCGGGCTCCACGCTCATCGTGGAGTCTACTTGAGATTCTCTCCCTTTGCCCCTCCCCACCACTCTCTCTCACTCTCTCTCTCTAAAATAAATAAATAAATCTTTAAAAAAAAAGATATAATGGGATAACTGATGAAATGGATCTGAATATGGACTGGGTTTTAAATATTCAGGGAAAATTGTAAATTTTCTTGGATGTGATAATGGTATGGGGGAATGTCCTTATTTTTAGGAAATGCCTACTGAAGTATTTAGGAGTCAAGTGTTAGGGTTAAATATATATTATTGTTAAATACACATATATATTATTATATATTTAAACACATATATATATTTAAAGAGAGAGAAACAGAGGGAGAGGGAGAGGGAAAGAGAGAAGCAAATACAGCAAAAGTTAACCATATAGTAGTGGGCATATATAGTTATTCATTGTACTATTTCACATTTCTGTAAGTTTGAAAATTATTTTAATAAGTCAAATCCAAAAACCACAGGAGCTGAGCCAGGGAGCCTGGGTGGCTCAGTTGGTTAAGCGTATGACTCCTGGTTTTGACTTAGGTCATGATCTCAGGGTCGTGGGATTGAGCCTTGCCTGGAGATCCACGGTCAGTGAGGAGTCTGCTTAAGGATTCTGTCTCCCTCCCTCTACCCCTTCCCCAGCTCACATGCACATATGCACACTCTCTCTCTCTTTCTGTCAAAGAAATCTTTAAAAAAAAACAACAACCAGGGGCGCCTGGTTGGCTCACTTGTTAAGTGTCTGCCTTTAGCTCAGGTCATGATCTCAGGGTCCTGGGATCAAGCCCCGCATCGGGCTCTCTGCTCCGCTGGAGGCCTGCTTCTCCCTCTCCCACTCCCCCTGCTTGTGTTCCCTCTCTTGCTGTGTCTCTCTCTGTCAAATAAATAAATAAAACCTTATAAAAACAAAAACAAAAACCATACACAGGAGTTGAGCCTTCGTGAAAGGAGCCTTTCAGGAAAATCTATACGGATTTGGGACCTTCCACCCCAAACACACCAGCCAGCGCTGTACACATTCCTTTCTCAGGGGAAACAGACACAGCTGCCCCTGTGTCTCTGGCTCTGTTGGCCACTGGTCTCTATCAGGCCCGCCAAGGAACGGAAACATCCTTCCTCAAGCAGACTGCCCCTCTGGGATATGAAAAGAGGATTATGCGCTCCCTGCAGGTCATTGGTGGTAGAAATGTTCTTTATGGTAACTGGACTGTACCTAAAGGATCTTTGTCAAAAGTCCCTCTTAATTAGAAATCATGTTTGTGTGCAATCTCTCTTTTTTTTAAATAGATGTAAATGTGCACTCTTGAATAGATAATACATTCCCATGGCTTGGAATAAAGTGATAGAAGGATGTACAGTAGTCTTTCTCCCATCCTCTGCCCAGCCACTCAGCTCTTCTTCCCCAGAGGCAACCCACGTGACCAGTTTCTTGGAGATATTCACTTGTGCAAGCAAATATTTAGATGTATCTGAATATGTAAATTTATTTAAATATGCCACCCTTTGCACAAAGGTAGTAGCTATTTATAGCCAATGCCCTGCCCAGCAGCTGGATTCCTGACACCACCAGACAAATTGTAGGTTTCTTGAAAAGGAAGATCTGATGCCTCTGTAGCTGGATCAGTGAACCTGAAGCATGATGAAGCTGCTGTATGCTATCAGGCTCAAAACACAGCCAGTGGCCCTTGGGTCACATGAAATTACATCAGATTTCTGCTCTGTCTCTTTGTGCTAAGAGGTCAGTGGAAGGAGCATCAAAACAGTCTACTTTAAAAATAAAAGGCAAAGGATCCACTCAGACAGCACATGGGAGGGACTTCCATAAGCTGCTGTCTCTCCAGGACAGGATGTCACACTGCCCATCACTGCATCTGCTTGAGGCTTCATCTTCATTCAAAGCACTGGGGTAGCCATGGCAGCAAAAGACGGTTTTTTTAACCCAACCTTTACTATTGAGAAAACGATGACAAAGTAAGGTGACTTGCCCAAGGTCCCTGACAAATTAGCATCCAACTTCTACTCCAGTGCTCTTTCCATCTTGAAACAATGGATCAATATGGACATCATGTGTTGTCTTTGCCTACTGGCCTTTTTACTGGTGACTAGGTCTGCCAGATAAAATACAGGATACCCAGTTAAATGTGAATTTCAGATAAACAACAAATTTTTATTTCCAAATGAGGTGGAGGTTACCACTAGAGTTGGTATCTCTAGTCAACAGGTTAGAATATGGGGGGGGATGGCATGGATCTGGCTATACTTAAAGGGATGGGGAGAACCCCCTCAGTTTGGGCTGGAAAGTCAGCAAGCTTTCTCTGTTGTAGCAAAGTGTTTCAAACTGATTACTTGTGGGGACTCAGCTCATGTGCCTGTGGAGAGGTGGGGCTTTAGGTGACTTGGCAGAAATGGCAGGAAGGTGATGTACACAGGAGACATACTACAGCCTCTGATGTGGTCCTATGGAAAACACGTTTTGGTTAAAAGCAGAGAAAGAAGAAAACATAGCTGGGGGATTCTTTTTGACTATAGCCAAGAAACATACTGGTCAAGAGTCAAATACTCTTGAACTTTGCAGGGCAGAAAAAGTGAAATTCTTTGGCTCGTGCTAAAGTTTGTGCATGGAGACAGTTGGTGATGGTGGTTTTAAAATTGTGTGTGTCTGTCACATTTATAGACTGCTACACTTCAATACACCTGAAGAAAGAAAGAAAGAAAAGAAAAAGAAAGAAAGAAAGAAAGAGAAAAAAAGAAAGAAATAGAAAGAAAGAAAGAAATAGAAAGATAGAAAGAAAGAACTGACACTAACAATGAGGATGAAGAACTGGAACTCTCAGACAGTAAAAAAACAAGCAGAAACAAACTCTACAAACAAAATACCTTGGCATAATGGCATTTTAAAAGTCTATCCCCTGTTGAAAGAATATTTAGGGAAAGAGTAAAAAACAGAAGATACTGATGCTGAAATGGTCCAGCAAGATCAAAGTTGCAGGGAAGAGAGATTCTGTAGGCCGTGAAGGGACGTATCCAAGGATAATATATCTAGGTAAATGACACCTCCATTAAAATGAAACTGGATTTCCAAGTAGGGGGCTAAGAAGCCCACCTCACATTTAGCAAACACTAGGTGCATTAACACCCTGACATGATGCAAATCCTGAAAACAGGGGCACCAATGAGGAACCCGTCAGCACAAAAGACAAATGACCTCTTGCTCACCATGTTTCCCATAGTCTTCTAGGCCTGCAGCCTTGAGGTCCACACTGTGAATTTTGCACAAGACTCTGTTCATGGCAGTGTATATGGCCCGCCTCTGGCTGGGCTCCAAGCCTGGCAGAGAAGGGTCTCTGTAGATGAGGCCTGGGCAGTATTCCATCACATAGAATGGAGTGCCAATGACCCTGGGAAGGACACAGACAGGGGGTTTCAGTGGTCCAGCTCATAATATGGCAGGCTGTTAGTCATGGCATTGCTTTTTTTTTTTTTTAAGATTATTTATTTTAGAGAACGTGTGCACAGGAGAGAGAGGGGGGAGGGGCAGAGGGAGAGAGAGAGAGAGAGAATCCTCAAGCAGACTCCCCACTGAGTGTGGAGCCCAACGTGGGGCTCAATCCCAGGACCCTGAGATCATGACCTGAGCCAAAAAGAGCCAGCCGCTCAACAGACTGGGCCACTCAGGTGCCCCAGCATTGCTCTATGTGTTTGCTCCAAGTGCTGGGGAAGGAGTTCAGACCCAGAGTGCTGGACATTTCCTTTCCTTCATACATCAGCACAGAGGGTTAGAAGTACCCCATCCCCAAACCATCCACACACACAGCCCTGTCTATACGTTTTTGCCAGCATGTCTCTCTTCTGTTTGGTCCACTCGTGGAAGCGACGGGAATGGAGATTAAGTGTGATAATGAAGGAAAGCAGCATGTTGAGAGGGGGACTTCGGAGCCATACAGAACCAGGTTTAAATCCCACCTCTGCCCCTTCCCAGCAGTGTGATAATGAGAGACTTACTAACCCTCTCTGGGCTTTGTTGTTTTAATCTGTAAAACTTCAAAGGGTTGTTGTAAGAATTAGGGGAGCAAATATACATGGACTGCCTGGTTCCAATGAGGCTTCAATAAATATCCCTTCTTCTTATTGATGTTATTTCTATCATTACCTGGTAGTGTGAGTGACACATATACCACCCTGTAATATTAAGGTGACACAACAAAATGTCATTAATCCATTCTTTAGTCATTACTAGAAATCAGTTTCCTATTCTAAAAAGTTGTTTTGAAAAGGCTACCATTAAAACTGTTTATCCTGGGGCACCTGGGTGGCTCAGTCGTTAAGCGTCTGCCTTCGGCTCAGGTCATGATCTCAGGATCCTGGGATCGAGCCCCACATCGGGCTCCCTGCTCCGCGGGAAGCCTGCTTCTCCCTCTCCCACTCCCCCTGCTTGTGTTCCCTCTCCCGCTGTCTCTCTCTGTCAAATAAATAAAATCTTAAAAAAAAAAAAAAGGACCACAATAAAAAATTTACAAAAACAAGCAACATGAAACTAGATGGATATAAATTTTTCAAAAGATAAAAAAATGTTTTCTACCAATTTTCACAAAAGCAGGCATTTCTTTATCTTTCAGGATAACTTAAAGATCTGTGAACTTCCAGGGGAGGTTGCTATAAAGTCTCTGTTCTCTCTCACCCAAATTTTGTCTTCAACAAACTGGGATTTGAGCTACTATATGGGCTTTTCTCTTCTGTAGTTTGAATATGTAATGAAAGAAATAAATCTGAACATTACCCTGAATCTTCACAGAGGCCAAGAACTTTGGGGACAGGCACTCCAGCATTGGCAAGGGCTTTCATTATCCTGCCGGAACAAAGAGAAATGAGCAACAATGCTGGCTGAACTGATGAGATTTTCTTGAAACTATTTTTCTGAATTAAAATCAGTACATGCAGAAATTAAAACAGAATTCTAAAAAATATTCAACTGACCCCAAAATAGGCAAGAAAAACAAAAAACAAGTAGCAAAATTATAGAACTAATTCAAACATCAATAGTTACATTACATTAATTAGACTAAACATTTTAATTGAGATAGAGATTGTCATACTGCATAGAAAAGCAAGACCTAACTATATGCTGTCCACAGGAGACATTCTTTTTTTTTTCTTTTTTAAAATTTTATTTTTTTAATTTGAGAGAGAGCATGCATGAGAGAGAGCAGGGAAAGGGGCAGAGGGGGAGAGAGAGAGAGAATCCCAAGCAGACTCCGTGCTGAACGTGGAGCCTGACTTGGGGCTCCATCTCATGACCCTGAGATCACGACCTGAGCATTAATCAAGAGTTAGATGCTTAACTGACTGAGTCACCCAAGGCGCCCCCAAGGAGGAAATTTTTAAATGTTTTAAATAGAAAAATAACTACTCAGTCATATCACCAGTATTTGGCTCCTGCTTTTGCCTGCCTGGTGTCCCTTTCCTTACTTCATGTTCTGATAATCCCTGGGCTTTCCTTTGGGAAATGGCTCTCTGTAGCTACTGTCAGTCCACATGGTTTGGGTGGGACTGACCCAATCCCTGGTTCCAAGGATGGGCACAAGACCCAGATTCAGCCAGTCTGAACAATGCATCCTCCTGACCCCAGACGATTGTTCATATTGGCTCAGTTAGTCAATCTCAGGAGGTATGCTGGAACATTCGCTAAGGTTATAGAGGAAACAGGAGTGGAGAGATGGAGGGAGAGAGAGAATGAATGGGTCCTGATGATATTATTTGGGCCCCTGGATCTAGTCATGCCTGAAAGATTTAAAATATGAAGCCAATACATTTTACCTCTCCTTTTAAAAAACAAAACACTTCAGTCAGTCTAGGTGGGTTTCTGTCACTTGCAGCTGAAGAACAGTAATATGCTACCCCAACATGGTAAATATTTTGGTGTGTTCCTTTCTAATATTTTTGTTTCGGTACAGAAGTCTTTTCAAAAAAAATAGTTAAGGGGGGAGCCTGGGTGGCTCAGTTGGTTGGACGTCTGCCTTCGGCTCAGGTCATGATCCCAGGGTTCTGGGATCGAGTCCCACATTGGGCTCCCTGCTCAGCCAGGAGCCTGCTTCTCCCTCTGCCTGCCACTCCCCCTGCTTGTGCTCTGTCTCTCTGTCAAATAAATAAATAAAATCCTAAAAAACAAAACAAAACATAGGGGAGCCTGCTAGATCAGTCGGTGGAGTGTGCAACTCGTGATCTTGGGGTTGTGGATCTGAGTCCCATGTTGGCTGTAGAGAGTACTAAAAAAAACACAAAACGTCGTTAGGATAGTACTGTATGTGGTCTGTATCTGTTTTTATTACAATTTTAACATTTTTGTGTTATTTAAGTGTACTTTTGTTGGCTGCAGTAACAGCACAATTAAGGCTGGGCTGTGGAATCCTGCTGCTCAAGGGTGTGAGGCCAAACTCTGCCACTCACATGCTAGTTGTGTATCCCGGGGGATGTTGCTTAACGTCTTTAAGCCTCGATTCCCTCGCCAGTAAAATGGGGATCATAACAGTAACATATCATGAGTTGTTGTGAGAACGCTTTGGGTTAACAATACATCCAAAGCATTTATTATAGTGCCTGGCGCATACTATACACTCAGTAAATGTCGGCTGTTACTTTGGTTGTTGTTGTTGCAACAAGTAGATATGCTAAGGTTTAATCATTTCCTGATTATTGTACCATTACGGTGTTTCCACTTTTTTATTATAAACAACATTGTGGTGGCCGTATTAATGCATAAAGCTGTTTTCCCTTTTGAGAATTTTTTTTAAAGATTATTTATTTATTTGACAGAGAGAGAGACAGCAAGAGAGGGAACACAAGCAGGGGGAGTGGCAGAGGGAGAAGCAGGCTTCCTGCTGAGGAAGGACCCCAGGACCCCGGGATCATGACCTGAGCCGAAGGCAGACGCTTAACAACTGAGCCACCCAGGAGCCCAGAGAATTATTTTTTATTTTATTTCTTTAAAAAGATTTTTATTTACTTATTTGACAGAGAGAGACACAGTGAGAGAGGGAACACAAGCAGGGGGAGTGGGAGAGGGAGAAGCAGGCCTCCTGCTCAGCAGGGAGCCCAAGCAGGGCTTGATCCCAGGACCCCAGGATCATGACCCGAGCCGAAGGCAGACGCCTAATGGCTGAGCCATCCAGGTGCCCCGAGAATTATTTTTTAAACAGAGATTCCTCTGACTGGAATTATTAGATCTAAAAGTGTGACTACTCTGAGGTTTTTAATAAAGTGTGTCATGCTATTTTCCAAAATTCCCCAAATTGTTCAAATTTACATTTGGCATTTTACAAGCAGATACCATTATCAGATTTCATCTTCAAATGTACATTTTATTTCTTTACTAAATGGAAATTCTCTGCATTCCTGGATTTTTGGAGTGTCACTGTAGCACCCCAGAATTCCATAGTGCCTCTGGGAATGGTCAGAGAGCATTCACAAGCAGGATGCATAAGAACAGAGTGGGGGGCTTCACACTTTTAGGGTTTCCTTCCTGTAAATACAGACCTGTTTCTGTGTGGGCACAGATAAAAATGCTCGGAAATAGCTACAGGTTTTCTCCTCTGATGACCCCCTAAGGCTTCATAATCATCAGTCACCAGTGCCTACAACACTTGGAGAAGTCAGATTCCAGGAACTAAAAAGTCCAAAGGACAGAGAGTAAACAATGAGAACAAGAAGGGGCCAAGAGACGACATCACATTTCCCTTACTACTCTGCAACACTCCTTCTGCAGGGGATCCGGGGCTGGAAAGGAGAAGGGAGCAGAGGAAGAGAAAGGCTTCCAGGACGGTAGGCGCCCCAACTGGAGCCCATCCAGAATTTTCATCTCACTCTCAAAGAGTTTGGAGCTAGGTTTTTTTCAACCTACTATGTTTAAATTTTCCTATTTGCAAAGGGGTCGGGAGGGGTTGTAATACTTTTATTCTTGTACACATTTTATTATGGAAAATTTCAAACATACCTCCATAGAGAGGTTCATATGACAAACCCCCACATGCCCACCGCCCAGTTTCAACAATTATCACCTCATGGCCATACTCGTTTTGGCCTCAGCCCCACGGAATATAAGACTAAAGGTCTTAAAGTCTTTAAGACTCAAGGGTAAGACTAATGAGTATTTCAGAAATGCCTTTTTTCACCCAGAGGTTCCCAAAAAAGGCTGGTTTTCTAGAGGTTTAGGTATAGAAAAGAGAAAACAAACTTCTGAATAAAACTAGGTTACATGTTCTTATTGGAAATAATTTTGGAAGTTCACACTTGCAGATTTAAATGTGTCAGGCTCTCTGACAGGGTGCGGACTTGTCAGTTCGGGGCCAAGCTGCGGAGGCTGCGGGTTGAGGACACCCCGGCTCTGAGAAGTTACCTGAATTCCCTCTCCACTGCATGGGTGGATGGAACAAGTGTCCCCGGGGGTTTCCTCCTCAGAACCAGCTGGTGGTTACCGAGCCTGATGTAGTAGGTTGGATTGGACTGCCCATGATCAAACTGAAGGAGTTCCAATGGGCCTGCGAGTTTGAAAACCAAGAAAACGAAAGCAGTTCTGAAGGACAGAGCTGGGCATTCCTGCTTTCTAACGAGTACCACACTTGGGGTGCAGAACGTTCTGATTTGGGATGCACCTCCTCCTCGGGCACCACAAGTGACTGAGTGCCAGGCATACCCCCCAGCTCAGGTCCACTACCGTGTGGCAAAGGCCACTCCGTTTCTACCACAGTCATTCTCACTTTGTACAGGTGTGCAATTTTGTCCCTCTTGCCAACTCCCGTTCTGTGAAGAAAAGCTTTTTGGTTCTGTTTATCAGGCAGAAGCACAGTCATGGCAACCCCTCAGGCAAAACGGAAGGCTTTAAGCCTGAGGATGGAAAGTGCCCCTGTGTGTCCCTCAGCCCATACTTGGCCCAAGGACGCCTGACACTGGCGTGACGGCTGAAAGGAGCTTCTGCAGAGGCTGACAGCCTGAGCCAAAGTGCTTTCCCAAGACGTGCTCTCCCACCCCAGTGGGCTGAGGTCTATGGCCCCCGCCCAGGAACATTCTAATTAACCCTCAGCTTCACAAGACTAAAGTACGGACATAGCTTTGTCTCACACGGTCAGAGAGCAGGCAATGGGAGTCGGCCTGAGTTCGCTGGCCTGCTCCAAAAGGGCCCCTTAGCGGTACAAGAGGCCCTAAAAACAATCCAATCCCTGGAGAGCAGAGCTGTGAAGCTCCACACAAAAAGTCTTTTGCAAGGATTTAATGGGTGGAGGCAAGACTTTACCACCAGGTGGAAATGTCTTCAAAAGCCCCCGAGGCAGCTGTTTTTCTGAGGGTGAAATTCAAAGAATGAAAGAGGGACCTTTGAAGAGATGGAGACAACTTGTCCCATTGTCAACTCAGGCAGCTTAAGTCACCTTCACAAACCAGGCTGTCATCTCAAAACAATTAGACACAGTCCAGCGTCCCTGGGCACACACCACCGGCTCCAGGTCCCAGGGGATCCCTGCGACACCACACTCTCGGGTGGAAGAGGGGGCGCGTGACCTTTTGGGGTTAATGCTTTTTCCCAGGCAAGACTGGAAGCTGCACTCGGATCCACTGAGCCCAATGGCTGTTTTTCTCACCACACTGCCTCTGTCTCCAGCATATTCCACCGGGGTTTGAAAGGAAGAACCAGACTGAAAGCTGAGCCTTTAGAAAGTCAGCAAAATACAAACATGTAAATACCTGTGCTTTGGGTCCCCAGTAAGTCTTTGAGGTACTTCTCCAAGGAATCTCGTGGAATCTCCACTGTCTTTCTCACAGGGCCAGTGTTTGGAATAACCATTCTCAACGTAAAGCCCAAAAGGGTTTCTAATTCCTTTACGGCAGTCTCTGGGTCATCAACCTTGTTTCAAAGAGAATATTGAACATCAATCACCAGTCAACCCTGACCTGGCCTCCTGTCTGTTCTCTAAAAGGGTAGTTCTTTAGGGGGAGATAACCAAGAAGTCAGGTCTTTGAGCAAGGGCTTTGGAGGCCAGGATGTTCAGCTAACGAGGAAGCTGTAGGATGAACTTCCTCTTCCCATTTAATTCCTAACCACATTAAACGCTCTCTGCTGGAAGTGTCAGTTAAGAGTCCATGATGCTCCTTCACGCCAGGAGGGCAGAATGCTGTGCCACCCTGTCCTGACGGCCCATCAGCCGCCTCATCATGAAAACGCCAACATGGGAAGCCAGTCGGAGGTCTCCTTTCATGTGGCTTCTCACGCTTCAAAGCCACGACCTGGGTGGTCCGTGTGGCTGCTAGCTGCTGGCTCCCCACCCAGAACAGCGTCTCTAGAACAGCCTAACTGCCCTCCCAAATGTCTTAAGCCTGCCAGCCACCCTCCTTGTGTAATTCTGTCTCAAACTGCCTTCTTAGTGTTTGTCCTACTTCCCTTTGAAAATGCGAGTGGCTCGTCACATAGATTTCCTAATTAATAAAAAAATGAGACTAGAGCAGCATGGGGGAAAACCACTAAACACAACTATGATTGTGAGCAGGACTACACAGAAATGCTTAGGCCAGTGCCTGGTGCACAGCTGGGGTTCAAAAAATTATGACCGTTACCTGAATGGTGTGAATGCCAAGGCTGGTGGCTGCTTTTATATTCAGTTCAAGATCGTCCAGAAAGATGGACTCAGAAGGCTGCAGGCCGAGCCGCTCCAAGCACAGCTTGTAGATCCTGGGGTCTGGCTTACAGAGACCTTCTCGGCAGGATTCCACAACCTGAGCGAGGGACAGGGATGAGAGGTGAGTGTCTCTAAAAGGTGGTGCTCCCACATGTGTACTGCCATAGTTTTTGAAAAGAATAATATAAGGACAGTTGCGATTTGTTGTAACAAGTAACTTAAGAGTGTTATGATGTAAAATGTTGCTGCTTTTTCAAGTTGGATATGGAAATACTGGATTACTACCTAGGGGCAAGCTCAGAAAACCAGAGTCCTGGTTCAGACACTGTCCCCATCAGTAATGTGGGGGTACTAGCTATCCTACCTACTGTTGAGAACTTTAAATGAAAGTTGAGTGAGCTCCAAAATGACAAAGCGTTTTGCTAATGTTACATATTGTGGCTACACAGAAGAGCTGCACATTTCAGCTTTAGGAAAAGTCCTTCACCATTTTTTCGAAAGAAGGCACTGGTTACTACTACAAAAGACGCATGACCTTAACGTTTACATTTCAGAAGTTAAAACACAAAACAGCCATCCTCAACTTAGATAAATCCCATCGTAGGATGGATGCCAAAGAGACTGTTCGTGGCAAAGATACTATTCCTTTCACGCGAGGAGCTCCCTTGTGTCCTGACAACCTTGCTTCAACCATGTATGTGATCCAGAACTAGGGGGAGTGGGGGTGTTGCCGGGGGTGCAGGAGCACCCTGCAAAAGCTGTTCCGGTGCCAGGCAGCCCTGCAGGTTCTCACACTATCCCCGGGGCTTAATCTCCTAGAAAGTGGGCCTAAAATGGCCAGAGAGGCTTAGACCCGCTACCCTCTGGTCTACCCTGAGAATAGATCTCAATCCCTGCTCGCTCCTGGAAAGACTCACACTCTCCAAGACCAAGGACAAACCTGAGGGCCCCTCCCTCTACTCCAGACTGCATTATTCAAGGTTGGGTGAGAGCTGCCCTTTCAGGTAAATAAATGTCCTGAATACATTGGACTGTCTACTTAAGCACTTGAATGAGCTAAAAAAGACAAGCTCCCTATAATGAAGACATCAATAGTGCGTAGCAAAGGGTGTTTCAGACACAGACCAGGGTCCATGCTGCAGGGGAGGCTGTGCTGGCTGAGACAGATGAGAGGGGGCGGCAAACCAAGGGGACAGGGCCAAGTTCTTATGAGCAGACATCTCTCAGGAGCCACTACGCTGAGAGTCACTGCGTTGGGGAAGTGAAAAAATTCTTCAGACTTAAGTTTGATAAGATCCCTGGTCTTTTCTTTCTGTTCTATTTTGCAACTTGAAAAAGTTCTGGAGATTATTACATAACAACGTGAATATACTTAATGCTACTGAACTGAACACTTAAAAATAGTTATGATGGGGGCGCCTGGGTGGTTCAGTCGGTTAAGCGTCTGCCTTCGGCTTGGGTCATCATGATCCCAGGGTCCTAGGATCGAGCCCCACATGGGGCTCCCTGCTCAGCAGGGAGTCTGCTTCTCCCTCTCCTCCCTACTCGTCCTCTCTCGCTATCTGTCTCTCTCTCAAATAAATAAATAAAATCTTTAAAAAAAATAGTTATGATGGTAAATTTTATGTTATGTGGGTTTTTACAATAAAAACAATATAGTAATTTTTTAATTAAAAAATTAGATGAAAAAAATTTTAAAGCTGAGACAGATTCCTATAATACTCAAGAGTTCAGCCTCTGATGTTGACAGAGATTATAGGATTGCTTACACTATTCCAACAAACGTGTGTGTGCGCACGCACATATATCCGTATATAGCCTTAGAGCTTTAGAGAACAAAAACCTAAACCGTTGCCCTTGAAGAAATATTTTTAAAACTCCAGGTCTCCTGCAGACCTAAAATATGAAAACCCACCAGAAAACCTGCTGGAAAGCACATGCCAGAAAGCCTGTGAAGTCTAAATAAACATGTCCATTTTTTTCAAGAAGCTCATAGGTCTTTCCAATTGTAGTCTCATTTGGAGGGCTCAGTGTGAGCCTGACCAGCTTCAGTTGTCCAGATGAAGATATCATTCCTATAGCTGCACTGGTTGGAAGGAATCTCTGAAAATAACTGCCATGTGCCAGGACCATGCAGGGAGCTTTGCATGCATTACTCTGTGGGGTGCACATAGCTACCCTATAACAAAGAAATTGCTATTCCTGAATTGGAGATGAGGAAACCGAGGTTCAAGGCAGCAAAGCATGGTCCACGGTTTGCAAGTTGCAGAGACAGGACTGAATCTGGCTGAGATTCCAAACGCTTGTGGAGAAGGAGCTTGGAAGATGTCTGTGTGTGTACTGCAGGGAAACCAACAATCAAAGCAGGTGGGGGTCAGGCAAGGTGTCCAGAGGGGAAAGGACTCTATCTCTGATGGGCTTTCTACAAGAAGGAAGGTGGATATGGAAGGTGAAAACAGCACTAGGTTGGGAGGTTAATTTCCAACCTTTGTGCTCTGAATTTCTGCCCGTCAATTCTACTAGATTTTATGTTCTAAAATAGCACTATCCAATAGAACCTTCTGCAGTGATGGCAATGCTGTGTCTGCACTGTCCAATATAGTAGCCGCTAGCCACATGTGGTGACTGAGCACTTGAAATGTAGCAAGTGCGTAGTCCAGACGGCCAGGATTGCCTGTCACATCTGACACGGTAACCCTTCATGCCTAGCCAGCGCCCCACACACAGTAACGCTGCTCAATAAGAATTTATTTTCTAACTGAAGTTTAAGCAGGTCATCTATAACTAATTCCTATCTACCCCAGGATGGTAATCTATTTTCTCTTGGGGAAGGAGGGAATTCTTTATAGCTACAGTAACCTCTTGGCACAGAAGACCATCTCAGTATGTTCTCAGTATAGTTTGATAGTCTAGCATTGGGCTATCCAATACAGTAACCACCAGCCATATGTGATTATTTACATTTAAACTAATAAAAATGAAATAAAATTCAGTTCTTCAGTGATACAAGCCACACTTCAAGTGCATTACGTGACCAGTAGCAACCATACTGGACATTTCCATTACTGCAGTAAGTTTTGTTAGACAGCACTGGTCTCAGGATTAATGCCACAGAATAGAGGGCAATATCATTGGTCTTTTTTTCTTTTTTTGGAGGGGGGAGGGGCAAAGGGAGAGGGAGAGAGAATCCTCTTCAGCAGGGGCTCACAACCCTGAGATCATGACCTGAGCCAAAATCAAGTCAGATGCTTAGCAAACTGAGTCACCTAGGTGCCCCCCCTTTTTGTCTTTTTTAAAAATATTTATTTAGGGATGCCTGGGTGGCTCAGGCGGTTAAGTGTCTGCCTTCAGCTCAGGTCATGATCCCAGGGTCCTAGGATGGAGTCCCACATTGGACTCCTTGCTCAGCAGGGAGTCTGCTTCTCCTTCCGCCTGCTGCCCCCCCTCTTGTGCTCTCTCTTCCTCTCTCTCTCTCACAAATAAATAAAAATCTTTAAAAAATCTATTTATTTATTTAATCTCTACACCCAATATGGGGCTCGAACTCATGACTCTGGGAACAGTATTTGCACACCCTTCCAACTGAGCCAGACCAGCGCCCCAACAGGGTTGGTCTTTGAAGAAAAAAGGTCAACAGGCCCTTTAAGATGTGAGGGCCAATGGAAAATTTGTGTGTTATGTGAGGAATAAGGTTCAAATTCAGAATGTGAAAGAGTCTCTAAAGCTGAGGTTTCAACCAGTTATCAAGCCCCAGAAATACTGGACTTTGCTGAGAGCTCAGCGACCTTTTAAAAGTCCTCTTTTCGGGCACCTGGGTGGCTCAGTTGTTAAGCATCTGCCTTCGGCTCAGGTCATGATCCCAGGGTCCTGGGATCGAGCCCCATATCGGGCTCCCTGCTCATTGGGAAGCCTGCTTCTCCCTCTCCCACTCCCCCTGCTTGTGTTCCTGCTCTTGCTCTCTCTCTCCCTGTGAAATAAATAAATAAAATCTTAAAAAAATAAAAAATAAAATAAAAGTCCTCTTTTCATCCTGTTATGTCTAAACCTAATTTAGTCAAGTTCGTTTGAATAAGAAAACCCATTCACTCAAGACCTGCCAAAAGGCAGCATTTAACGATGCATCCGGAAGCAAGGACAGAGACTCTATTTTGATTGTTTGGATTAGTTTAAGCTTACCACATCAAACTGTTTCCGGTCCAGGGGCAAAAAGCTTTTCCCGTTGGCGAGATAAAAATTATTGCTCAAGACTGCAGTCCGAAAGCCTTTTGCCCGAATTTGAGTTATGGCCTCAGTCATCACTGGGAACTGCTGTGCCACTTGCTCACTGGTCAGCAGAGAGAAAAAGGAGGCCACAGGTACAGAGGTCTTCGCCTAGAAGTGGGGAGGGGAGAGGAGAACCAACAATAATTAAGAGGAGGAGGAACCGCTTATCACCAACAGAGAAAATACTGCTACCTAAAGTAATTCTCCTTCGGCCCTTGTGCAGAATTTTGCGTACAAGGTTGTAAGGACTGACTTCGAGTGCCTCTGGTAAGGGAATGGAGCTATTTATATCAATAATCCAGTTAAATGAACTCCTTATTTCACTCATGGATTGGCAATCTTCAAAAGTATCAAGGGCGCCTGGGTGGCTCAGTTGGTTAAGCGACTGCCTTCGGCTCAGGTCATGATCCTGGAGTCCCGGGATCGAGTCCCGCATCGGGCTCCCTGCTCGGCGGGGAGTCTGCTTCTCCCTCTGACCCTCTTCCCTCTCATGTGCTCTCTATCTCTCATTCTCTCTCTCTCAAATAAATAAATAAATCTTTAAAAAAAAAAAAAAGTATCAACCCCAAAAGTACATGAAGCAGATCTAATTTAATTCTTAATGATCCGGAAGACATGTAATGATTTTCTATTGCCTGAGCATCACCACTATGAACTTCAGTTTTGGACCCATTTTTCGTTTTTAACTTCAATCTACGCAGGTTTTGAAAACTCATCATATTTCAAGATCTGCAAAGGCAAGTCTGCGATTTTACACAATCACACACATACACACACACACTGTAGAACAGCTTCATTGAAATACAATTCACATACCACACAGTTCACCCATAAATTGTATGATTCAGTTTTTAATATGTTCACAAAGTTGTGTGATCATCACCACAATCAATTTTAGACCATTTTCATCACCCTGAAAAGAGACCCCATATATATTGGCAGTCATTCCCCATTCCACCCCCCACTTCCCAGTACTCTCAGTCCTAGAAAATCAGTAATTTACTTTCTTTTCCTATAGATTTCCCTAATCTGGGCATTTCACATAAATGGAATCGTACAGTATGTGGTCTTTTTTGACCAGCTTCTTTCTTTCATTTAGCACAATGTTTTACTTTTTATTTGAAATTATAGTAAAATATACATAACATAACATTTAATATTTTAACCACTTTAAGTGTGTAGTTGGGTGGTATTAAATACATTTGTTATGGTGCAACCATTACCACCACTGATCCACAGAACTTTGTTTACTAGGAGGATTACTGTGAAGTCTACACTTGAGTTAATGTAAATAAAGAACTTAGAACAGGGGCACCTGGGTAGCTCAGTCAGTTAAGCAGCTGCCTTCAGCTCAGGTCATGATTCCGGGGTCCTGGGATCAAGCCCCGCATCGGGCTCCCTACTTGGCCGGGAGCCTGCTTCTCCCTCTCCTCCCCACTAGTGCTTGCTCTCACTATCTCTGTCTCTCTCACTCAAATAAATAAAATCTTAAAAAAAAAAAACAACTCAGAACAATGCATAGTACAGAGAAAAGGTTCAATATTGTTATTGCTTTATTTTTTTTAATTTAAAATTTTTTTTTAAAGATTTAATTTATTTATTTGAGAGAGAAGAGAGACAACATGAGTGGGAGGGGCAGAGGGAGAGAGAGAATCTCAAGCAGACTCCACGCTGAGCACAGAGCCCGATGCAGGGCTGGATCCGAGGACCCTGAGATCATGACTTGAGCCGAAACCAAAAGTAGGACGCTTAACCAACTGTGCCACCCAGGCACCCCTTATTATTGTTTTAAATGAGCTTTCTAATCAAAGCCGTTATGCAGACAGCTCCTATTGCAGATGAAGAGCAGCTGATGGAGGAGCTTAGTAAAGAATACTTTTACTTATTCACATATGTAGCTAAAGTTGAGTACCTGGGGATGGAAGAAATACATTAAAAACTTATAACGTAAATGGGTGATGGGTGTTATCTGGAGGGCACTTGTGATGAGCACTGGGTGTTATATGCAAGTGATGAATCACTAAATTCTCCTGAAACTAATACACTGTACATTAACCAACTAAAATTTAAATAAAAACTTGAAAAAAACCAACCGACCAAACCAAACAAAATAAAAACTTGATATATTTAAAAAAAACAACTTACAATAGATTATTAGGTTTTTATTTTTCCCTTTAAATTTTTTTATTGTTATGTTAATCACCATACATTACATCATTAGTTTTGGATGTAGTGTTCCATGATTCATTGTTTGTGCATAACACCCAGTGCTCCACACAGAACGTGCCCTCTTTAATACCCATCACCAGGCTAACCCATCCCCCCACCCCCCTCCCCTCTAGAACCCTCAGTTTGTTTTTCAGAGTCCATCGTCTCTCATGGTTCATCTCCCCCTCCGATTTCCCCCCTTCATTCTTCCCCTCCTGCTATCTTATTCTTTTTTTTTTCTTAACATATATTGCATTATTTGTGTCAGAGGTACAGATCTGTGATTCAACAGTCTTGCACAATTCACAGCGCTCACCAAAGCACATACCCTCCCCAATGTCTATCACCCAGCCACCCCATCCCTCCCACCCCACCCGGTTTTTACTTTATTTGCAGCTTAATCAACTTAATGGGTGAGTACGGCATCCACCCATTTGGTAAAAAGAGTATGTAAATTCAAGTGTGTTTATCACTCACAATGGCAGAGCAAAGTCTCCCAAATTCTTGCAAGAAATCCTCTGTTGTTATCTCTCCCCTCATAAGTTTCATCCAGGGCCCACTTTCGCCACCTAAGAACCAGGCCTTCCGTATAGTTCCAGGAGGGATATGATTTTGTAGCTCCCATTCTATAGGAAGTAAAATATGCAATGAGTGAAGAACATCGACAGATGGCTGGGCTTTGGGAAGCCCTGGGGAATTACTGAACCAGTCCCTGAGGCACTGCTGTGGTGGTGCCAGGTGGATTCTGCTGGGAATCTGAAGAAATTCAGGAAATGCAAAATCTCAGCCTTAAGCCTCCAAGGCAACAGTGATACCGAGGGGATGCAGCTGCTAAGTGTCAGGTCCTTACCACCTGCTTGACGTGACTCTGGACACTGCGTTATGCATTTTCTTCCCGGGTCTCTCATTAGGGGGCTCACTCACATGATCCTGCCATGTGGTAAGGAAATACATGCGTAATAGGCTGGATTCTGGCAGCACTTGGAAACAAGCCTGTCATTTTGTAAACTGTAGTAATCCTGGATGGCAGTGGGGCTGGTGGTACACGGGAACGTTCGCTTGGAGGATGCCATCTTTGTGGACTAAAGAAAACTTCTATCCACAAGAAGCTCAGTCAGTGAATGGAATGGATCAACATTCGTGTACACTGGGAACCTTTAGACAGGGGCTGCTTTTTCTTGTACAAGGTTGTTTTTTCTTTCTAAAATATAGCTGCTATGGAGCAAAAATATATAAAGCAATCATAATTATTTCTAAGACATAATCTGCTTTACACATTTTTTTGTTTTGTTTTTTTTTTTTAAAGATTTTATTTATTTATTTGAGAGAGAGAGAATGAGAGATAGAGAGCACGAGAGGGAAGAGGGTCAGAGGGAGAAGCAGACTCCCCGCTGAGCAGGGAGCCCGATGTGGGACTCGATCCCGGGACTCCAGGATCATGACCTGAGCCGAAGGCAGTCGCTTAACCAACGGAGCCACCCAGGCACCCACATTTTTTTTGTTTTGATAAAGTAGGGCCTGTGCATTGAAAATATCTGACTATAGAAAGTGTAAAAAAAGAAAGTAAAATGACAAGGAATCTCACCCTTCAGAAATAATCGATGTTACTAATCTGATCTATACCTTTCGAGAATAGCAAGACTTTTTTTTTTTTCTGAGAGAGAGAGCATGAACACAGGAGAGTGGGGAGGGGCTAAGGGTGAGAGAGAAAGAATCTTAAGCTGACTCCACGGAGCCTGATGAGGGGCTCAGTCCTACTACTGTGAGATCATGACCTGAGCCAAAACCAAGAGTCGATGCTTAACGGATTGAGCCACCCAGATGCCCCAAGAATAGTAAGACTTTTAAAGCTCAATCCAAATAATCATACTTGTTTAATTTGAGAACTAAAGTGTATAACGTTTTTTATGGTCTGAGAGTTGGCAAGCACATAAGGAAACTGGTACTCTCATATACTGTTGAGGAGAGTGGAAAAAAGTACAACCTCTATGGATAGCAAAATTTTAAATGTATATCTGATGTAGTAATTCCACTTTCCAGGAATTTCTCCCACAGATAGATCTATAAAAGTCAGCAAAGAGTATGTATAAGGCTGTGCAGAATTGCTTGTAATCAAAAGAATCAGAGGGTGCCTGGGTGGCTCAGTCGGTTAAGCGTCTGCCTTAGGCTCAGGTCATGATCTCGGGATCTCGGGATCAAGTCTTGGGATTAAGTCCTGAGTCGGGCTCCCTGTGGAGCCCTCCCTCTGCCCCTCCCCCCACTCGTTCTCTCTCTCTCTCTCTCAAATAAATAAAATCTTAAAAAAAAAAAAAGAACCAGAAACTTAAATGTATAATAAATGTTAAATCAACTATGGTACATCCATATAATGGAATACCACACAGATGTATAAACTAGACCAAGGAGGGGGTGCCTGGGTGGCTCAGTCATTAAGCGTCTGCCTTTGGCTCAGGTCATGATCCCAGGGTCCTGGGATCGAGCCCTGCAACAGGCTCCCTTCTTCTCCCTCTCGCTCTGCCTGCTCTCTCTCTGTCAAATAAAATCTTAAAAAAAAAAACAAAGGTTTGGGGCGCCTGGGTGGCTCAGTCATTAAGTGTCTGCCTTCGGCTCACGTCATGGTCCCAGGGTCCTGGGATCCAGCACCACATCGGGCTCCCTGATCCGCGGGAAGCCTGCTTCTCCCTCTCCCACTCCCCCTGCTTGTGTTCCCTCTCTTGCTGTCTCTCTCTATCAAATAAATAAATAAAATCTTTTAAAAAAATAAACTAGACTAAGGATATGCAATATATGGCCTGAGAACCAAATCTGTTTTTGTAAGTAAAGTTTTATTAGAATACGACGACACCCATTCATTTACTACTGTCACTGTTTTCTTACCACAACAGCAAAACTGAACAGTTGTGACAGAGATGGTATGGCTTGCAAAGTCTACTTAGCCCTTTATAGAAAAAGTTTGCTAACTTAGACACACCTTGGCAGAAGTTAAACCAATCTGGGAACATGCCAGCCGGGGACATTCTACCCAGGGAGGAGGTCAGAGAAGCCTTCACAGAAGAGAAGTCTTAAAATCAATACTAACAACCACCACAAGATGTACTGAGTACACAAGACTCCAGGCACTGTGCTTAACTTTTTTTTTTAAAGATTTTATTTATTTATCTGTGAGAGAGAGAGAGAAATAGAGAGCGAGCACAAGCAGGGTTAGCGGCAGGCAGAGGGAGAAGCAGGCTCCCCACTGAGCAAGGAGCCCGATACAGGACTCAATTCCAGGACCCCAGAATCATGACCTGAGCCGAAGACAGACGCTTAACAGACTGAGCCACCCAGGTGTCCCTACACTGCTTAACTTACCATCAAAAGTACCAGTAGGATTTGAACAGGTAGAGGGGGCGGGGAAGGGTAGCTGCCAGCAGAGGGGAGAGAACTTGCAAAGACACAAGAGTGTAAATGTGTTTGGCAAGTTTAAAGAACATCAAGTCCACGGCAGCTGAAACGTGGGCAAAGCTGCGACAAAAGGACATGAGGGCTAATTTGCAAGAGGCCTTTGGATACCAAGCAAAAACTTCTGGACTTAATCTAAGGGACAAAGCACAGGCACTCAAGGATTTGAAGCAAGGGAGTGAGGGGATAAGATCTGTATTTCAGAAAGGTAATTCTGGGGGCTGCGTGCAAGGTGGCGCAAAACCCAGAGTGCCAGGAGGCAGAGACAGAGGAGTTAGGAGGCTCCTGGGATGGTGCAGGTGCGGGAAGATAGGGATCGAAATCTGGGCCGAGGCAGACAGGAGTGAGTGAAGCGAATAGGTTCTCGAGATATTCTGGAGAAAGGTGAGAAAACTCCTGTCCAGTAATCTTTGTTTTCGGTAAAAAGAGGAGTTTCAGCTGTTGGCCAAGGATGAAGGTTTGTGGCAGGGGAGTAGGATGACTGCTGGGGAGGTCGGAACAGCCCTGCAGTAAATGTCAGAGGAATATGAGCAGAGGAATAGAGAGGATGAGGGCCCTGCTGCAGTTGGAGGTAAAAAACTGCTCTCCAGGGGCGGCTGGGTGGCTCAGATGGTTAAGGGTCTGCCTTCGGCTCAGGTCATGATCCCAGGGTCCTAGGATCGAGCCCTGCATCGGGCTCCCTGCTTGGTGGGGAGTCTGCTTCTCCCTCTCCCTCTACTGTTCCCCCTGCTTGTGCTCTCTCACTCTCTGTCAAATAAATAAATAAAATCTTAAAAAAAAACAAAACAAAACTGCTCTCCAAGTCCGCTTGCTCAGCTGGGTCAGGTGAGAAGGGAATCCTCGAGGAAATGAAGCCGGGAGGCCAAAAGGGGGAGCTCTCGCGCCCTTCCAACTCCGTCAGTTACAGAATCTCCAATGGGAAAGGATCATCACTTCCTGGCCTCAACAGGAGAAAGATGTTAGGCTGAACTCACTACCCCAGCAACTCCGCTGATGCGAAATCATCATCATCCTGAACTCCTGCCTTTCTGCAGGGGACTTCTGTTCAAAACAAGCCCTCCTAATTTCCTCTTCTTTCTCCATAAAATAATGTTCCTCTCCTTTGTGAGACTAGCCTATGGTATTGGCCATAGCTTGCTCATCCCAAACTGCAGTTCTCTTGCTATTCCCAAACAAACTCATTTTTGCTGGTAAAATAACTGTTTCATGTTTAAGGTCAATAGGAAAGGTTTATTCAGGGGCATATAAAACCTGTACTTGGGTTGGCTTAGCATGGAGAACTGCCTAACCAGCCACCATAGTAGGTCAGCTCTTCGGCCTTTTTTCCTTCTTGCTGGCTGGAATGAGAATGTGATGGTAGGAGGTGAAGCTGCAAAGACAGACCATGAGGTGAAACTGGAAATGAAGGGTACTCACAGCAGAGCTGCCTAAATGTTCCTCTCAGCCTCCCCTTACACATTTCATTCCCCCTACCCCGACCCTAGTCTCCAAAAGTGAAACAGAATGTAGAGCTCACCTGCGGCCACTCTCCCTGGAGAAGGAATGAGAACTCCACCCATGTCAAAAATCACCGCTCTGTAGGTGCCGCCTCCAGAATGTGCCCATCGCCTGGCTCGCTGGTGCCTGCCCTGGATGTGTTTCAGGAAGGCTACCCTCCAAGCCCACTGGAGATGTGAGGACTGGAAAAGCTGCCTTATGCACATGTTGAGGCCAACACTGCACAAGAAGAAGACACAGGGCACAGTTTGCCTTCACTGCCTCCAATCCAGACCTCCATCTGGGAGCTCAGGCATGCCAACTGGACATCTCCAATATCTCCCGCAGACCCTTCAGACCACAACCAGAATTGAACCCTCCCGGACTACTCTGTTTTCTAAGCTCCTTAGCCTAGTAAAGGATTCAGCGAGCTGCTCAAGCTAGAAATCTGGGGTTCACTCCTGACTTCTCTCAGTCCCCCACCTGGCCACCGCAATTCCATGTGCTCTGTGCTGTCGTCTTCCTCCTGAAAATCGCCATCCACCTCTCTCCACTTACTACCCACAGATTATCTTGCCCACAGATCACTGCAACAAGCCTCCTAACGGATCCCCTTGCCTCTTCTCAAACTCCTTCTCATTCTTTCTCCACTCTTCAAGCAGAGTTAAGACTACTCCTTCAAAACTACAAATTTGGCCACATCCTAATGCCATTTAAAACTTTCAATGGTGGGGCGCCTGGGTGGCTCAGTTGGTTAAGCGACTGCCTTCAGCTCAGGTCATGATCTCAGGGTCCTGGGATTGAGCCCCGCATCAGGCTCCCTGCTCAGCGGAAACCTGCTTCTCCCTCTCCCACTCCCCTTGCTTGTGTTCCCTCTCTCGCTGTCTCTGTCAATTAAATAAATACAATCTTAAAAAAAAAAAAAAAAGTAAAACTTTCAGTGGCTCCCCACTGCCCTCAAGATAAACTCTCAGTTCCTTAACCTGCCTCAAGAGGCCCTCTAAGATCTGCCCCCCACTCTTGGCAGCAACTCTCCCTCTTCTTTCACCTTAATTGGAATGACGTGCACACACAAATCTACATGCAGCTTCTTTAAACACATGATGTTCTCCTCCGGCTACCATGCCTTTGCCTGTGCTGTTTCCTTGCCCTGGACCGCTCCCTTCCACCTGTTACCTGGCTAATTCCAAATTGTCCTTTAGGTTGTAGTTTACCTATCACTTACTTCAGGAAACCCCCTTCGGCTACCAGAAAAGACAGATGAGAAGCCTCTCCTGTATACTCCCAGAATGCCCAGTACGGACCTTCTCCTAGTACTGATGGGGTGCCTCCATCACACCAACAGGCTCCCAACTGTTCTCCATTTGTCTCTTTTCTAAACACTCTCAGAAAGTTAAAAAAAAAAACCCCCCCAAAAAAAAAAAACCACCCCATACACACACAACACACACTTACGTATATAGACATATACCTACATACAGGGATAGGGATAAACCAAATGTGGCAAGATGTTTAGTCAATCTAGGTGAAGGGCATACGATGAAGAGTATATGAGAGATCATTCATTGTACTATTCTTTCAACTTTTCTGTATCTCTGAAGTAAAAAGCTGGGGTAAGAACAAATTAATGAAAGCAAATGCTATTTGCAGTCAGGTCTGTATGAAAATCTTTGCACTTTTGTGTGATTTCTATAGCTTCAAAGTTTACTAAAAATAGGGTTTGAACAACATAGTTTGGGAAAACAGACTATAAGTTTCTGAGAGGCACTTCAGTGCGGCCATCAGGATTCAATAAGCCATAGAAGACTCTAAAGAAAGGGTTCTCAAGCAGTAAATCTTTTGAGATGATACGATGTGTTTTTCATATAATTGGAAATTTGCAGAACTGGGGCGGGGGTTGAAATGTAAAACTTAAAGGTTGATTTGCATTTTCAGTTTTACTTATGTTCCCACGCCAAGGCCAGAGTTTATGATGCAAGGAGTTTATTTATAGGCTTCTAAAAGCATCAAAAACTTTGTGCCCGGGCTTAACAGCGATGAAAAGTGTCTCTGGGGCCTGAAGGGCTGGCTTGCATCTCAACTGAGGGTACTAATGGATGAGTGGGCAATGCTCCCATGACCAGCTTGCTTATTCCTTCCAACTAGAGATGATGGTTCTGTTCTAACCACTTCCCAACACTCTCTTCAGAGTGGCAAAACACTGGTTTCTCCCACCTCCAGGCTGGGGAGCTGTGCACTGACTGTGATAGCTTTTCCCATTTCATCTGCTGTACACTTCACTCGTTTTTACATCACAGCCTCAGCTTTACCTTTACATCCTCTCGAGAGGCTTTTAACATTCTTTTTATTTTTATTTTTTTAAGTAGGCTCCACACCCAACATGGGGCTCGAACTCAAGAGTCTCATGTTCTACTGACTGAGCCGGCCAGGCTCCCTGAGGCTTTTTCTTTTCCAGGAAGGCTCTGGTACTACTTTTTTTTTTTCTTAAACTCCTATTGCTTCTTCTCCATACCTTCACTAGAGCATTTACTCCATTACACAGTAACTGTTTTCATGCTTATCTGCTCCTATAATTGTAAGCTCCTTAAAGCAAGGCCCATCTTTTCATCTTTGTATATATTTCATCTTCGTGTATACCTGTCCCCCTGGGGCCTAGCACTGCATCTAGACACACAGCAGATGCTCAGTATAAATGAGTTGGAAGGATGAATAGATGAATCAGAAAATAGGGCAAGGCAGGGGACAGGTTTAGTTGTTGATAGCCACAGAAAACGGTAACAAGCCCAACTTGCCCGTCATTAACTATTCTCTGGAACTAGCATGTTCCTTCTGTACCATAGAGAATATTTGTCTTTAGAATAATGAGATTAGTATGATAATGTAGCCCTGCTACTTAATTTGTGCTTTTATAAATATGCACACAGTGTGTTGTCACATATTAAGAAGATGGTTTAGTAAAAAGGTTGAGTGTGGCTCTGGAATCAGATTGCTTGGGTTTGAATTCTAGCTCTGCCACTTACTAAGTGTGAGATCCTAAGCAAGTTTCTCTGAGACTCAGGTCCCTCTTCCCTCTGGAAATGGGAATAATTATATACCAGTCTCATAAAGTTGTTACTATTACATGAAATAAAGTATGTAAAGCACTCAAGTTAGTACCTGGCACACTATTAAATGTTATCTACCACTGGGGCACCGGGGTGGCTTAGTTGGTTTAGCACCTGACTCGATTTCAGCTCAGGTCAGGGTTGTGAGATCAAGCCCTGCGACGCGCTCTGCTGCTGGGCATGGAGCCTGCTTAAGATTCTCTCTCTCGCTCTCCCTATGCTCCCCCCTCCTTCTTTTAAAAAAAAAAAAAAAGAAAAAAATGTTATCTACTATTGTAGTATACTATAAAAAGTTCATGAGGTCTCATAAGTGATAAGCATATACTATGTGAATATGGCATATGCATCTTTACAGCGATTCTCAACAGGGTGTGATTTTGGTCCCAAGGGGACATTTGGCAAGGTCTGGGTACATTTTTGGTTGTCACCACTTGGGAGATATAAACAGTGTATATTGAAACATATTTCATAAGATGCAGTCACAAGCTATATACACATATAGCATGTGGTTATGTTATATGCATATGTAGTCCAGGATGTGCTGTGACACATCCTAGAAATCCTTATAGCATATGCTTGGAATAGCATCCTGGCATGTGTGCGACATTTAGGTATTGACTGTGGCTCTCTGTATGCTAAAGGCAGTCTGACATACTGGAAAGAAAGCTGAATCTAAGAAAAAATGATATATGTAGAGCCACAGGCTCTATTTCATGGCCGTATACTATCCCACTTTTATGACAAAACCTAGCTCAAGGTCACACAACCGATCAAGGTCGACTCCATTAGAGCACGAACTGTGTGCTTATCTTATTCACGAAAATATCCCCACCACCCCAACAGTGCTTAGGCTCGCAGTAAACATTTGTGAAGTTACGGAGCGGGGAGCAGGGCCCAGATCTAACTCCCAACACCGTGCGCTTAACCAGCCCACCGCCCTACCTCGACATCGTCAGAAACACTGCAATCGAGTCCCTATTCCTCAAGGGCCTTCAGACAGGCAAATACACCTCTCTGCGCTTTGGCGTACCTGTCTTTAAAGTGTGGCTAACACAAAGCAACCCCTCCAGCGCTACAGCGAGGGGTCAAACACAACAAAGGGGCAAAAGCTCGCCACAGGGCACGGTTCCTCGGACAATTCGGAGACCTCGCCGACCCGGAGACTGTCGCCGTCGAGAGGCAGCCTGAGGGTAAGGCCTCTCAGAGAGGTAAACTCGGGCCTGGGCGCAAACGCACCGATCCGCCTAAGAGGGTACCCAGCGCCTACAACCTCGGTAAACTTTCTCCTCCCCGACCTCTTCAAGATCCCGTCCCGGGAGCGCACTCACCTCGGCGCCGTTACGCCAGTCACGTGGCCGCCACCCTATCCAATCGGAGCGCGCGCTCCTGCGCGCACGCGTAATCTCGCGGGTCGACGACGGCGGCCGGGAGGCGGAAGCGAGGGTTGTTGTGGCTCGCAGGGTTGCGCGCGGAGCTGCTGCTACCGAGGCAGCGGCGGCGGCGCTGAGGCGGTGGCAGCGCTGCCGACCCTGGGCCGCCCGGCCTCTCAGCTCGCCTTCCAGCCTCGCCTGAGCCCGCCGGGGCCCGCGCCGGCCAGCGCCTGCCCTATGAGTGTGTCACTGGTTGTCATCCGACTGGAGCTTGCGGAACACTCGCCCGTCCCCGCCGGCTTCGGCTTCAGCGCCGCCGGTGAGTCCCGCGGCCTCGCAGCCTTGCGTCTGGCCCCGCGCCTGGGCCCGGGAGGCTCGCCATCCCAAAGTACGGGCCCGGGGAAAGGCGGCGGCGAGGGCCTTTGTGTCAGGAAGAAGCTGAGAGGTGGTTAAGATCCGTCTCATTCCGTCCATCCTAAATAGGCCTCTCGGATGTCATTTCTGGGAAGCCCTTCCCGGTCCCTCCCTCCTTGTGCCTTCCCACGGGCACTCTGTTTATACCTGGCGCGTCGCCCTCTCCACCCTGGGTTAGAGTCAAGTTGTGTAAGTTGGTCTCCTCCAGGCTTTGTGAGGGCAGCGACTGGATCCCAGAGATGCTGACGGTTCGTGGTTTAATCAAATCGTTCCTCTTTGGAAGAATTTCTGTTTAGGCGCCCTGCAACTACAGTAGTAACTATAGCTAAAGTTTGTACACTTCCTGTGTCGCAGCACTGTACTAAACACTTTGTGTGTATTATCTTTTTTTTTTTTTAAAGATCTTATTTATTTATTTATTGACAGACAGCGAGAGAGGGAACACAAGCAGGGGGAGTGGGAGAGGGAGAAGCCGGCTTCCCAGCTGAGCAGGGAGCCCGACGTGGGGCTCGATCCCAGGACCCTGGGATCATGACCTGAGCCGAAGGCAGATGCTTAACAACTGAGCCACCCAGGCGCCCTGTGTGTATTATCTTCTTTAATTATCTTCACGACAACCCTGTTAGGTAAATGTAGGCGCCTTTTACAGGTTAGGAAACTGAAGCCCAGTGATTAAATGACTTGCCCACGATTGTCCTGTAAGTGGTGAAAGGATTCTAACTCAGAGCTAGACTTGAGAGTCTGAGCTGTTCATTACCAGCCACACACAGCCTCCTTTCATGGGGAATGCAGCTATGACTGTGTTCCTTGGACCTTAAGCAATTTCCTAACAGTAACATTTATTCAAGAAGTAATTACTGAATGCTCACTCTCTGCTGGAACTTTAGTTGTTTGCAGAATTAGACATGGTCCCTGCTTTAATGGCACCGGCAGCTCAATGAGATAGACAGATGAATTAAATAATTACAGAATAAATGTGGAATTACATCCATGAAAAGAGCTGTGAAGGAAAGGAAGAGTTTGGAAAGCTATCACGAGGATCTTCTTGGTTTGGGGAGGGGGCCTGGGGCAGGTAGAGATTGTGTCCTTAGAAACTCCCCTAAGGGGTGCCTGGGTGGCTGAGTCGTTAAGTGTCTGCCTCCCGCTCAGGTCATGATCCCTGGGTCCTGGGATTAGGCCCGCATTGGGCTCCCTGCTCAGTGGGAGGCCTGCTTCTCCCTCTCCCACTCCCCCTGCTTGTGTTCCTTCTCCCGCTTTGTCTCTGTTTAATAAATGGATAAAATCTTGAAGAAAAAAAAATTAAAGAAAAGAAACTCCCCTGAGTGTGTGAATTTTGGAGCTGTAGATTAAAAATTGAGTATGATTTAATGGGTTACAAGCACCTTTCAAAAACTACAAGTGATCCCTAAGTTATGAAAGTCAGCTAAATTGACGTTAGGCACGAATACACCTCTACACAGGTCAGTCCTTGATTTACTGAAGACCTTCCAGGATGTGCTAGGCACTGTGGTGTAAGTGCTGGGGATACAGTGGTGGGCAAAACAGGCCTGGTTCCTGCTCTGATAGAACTTATATTAAGAGTATTTCAATCGAGTCTCCAAGTTCCTTTTCCATTTTTGTGTGTTTCATTGATTTAAGACTGTGATCACAGATTTTCATGGTATGATTCATGGCATGAGGCTAATCCAGGGTGTTTAAGAAGACTACTGCTAAAGGTTTTTGAATTTTTATTAATGGACCCGAGACTTTCATTTGGAGCTCAACACAGTTTCACTTTACCAGAGATTACTTAAAATGTTGGTTCAATATGGACATAATCACTGTTGAACCTTCTCTAAGCTCCTATTCTCATTGGTTTGCTTTAAAATGCATGATTTCACTAGAACAACCCTGCATTTCTGAATTTATTGCACTGGGTGTTTATTGAGTATCTGCTGGGCACTGAGGAGCCCCAGAGGTGAGTGAGAGATGCAAAGGCATCATATTATCTTGGAGGAGGGCAGCAGAGAGAAAAGGGAAGCTTATTTGATGGATACATTGAAAGTGGAGAAGAGCTTGTTTTATTATCAGATATTAATCATTCATGTGTTCCTTAGCTGGGGAAATGTCTGATGAGGAGATCAAAAAGAAGACACTAGCTTCAGCTGTAGCCTCTTTAGAAGGGAAGTCACCAGGGGAGAAAGCAGCAATCATACATCAGCATCTTGGCCGTCGAGAAATGACAGATATGATCATTGAGACCATGAAGTCTAATCCAGGTATGCTTCTAAAACCCCAGACTCATGTAATATAAGCCCCTGGTTGCCTGTCTTATACTACATGTTATTCCATAAGCCCATGATTTTGACCTCTAACATACTTTTATCTTTCACTACCTGTGTGCCTTACATGAGGTTGTCAAGCCACACTTCAGCGTCTCCAAATATTTCTCCTAAATTAATACTAACTAGGTGGTCAACAACTTTATTCAGTGAGGAGAACTACTTACCATCTAGGGTAGTGGCAGATCACTAATGAATCCAGATAAGCATGTTGTGTCTCCGCCCTCCCTCCCCGCCAATACACACACTGCCAGCTCACTCCAACCCAGAGACTGGCTGTGTACTATTATCTCCAGCGTGGAGGTGATTAGAACTGGTAGGTTTGGTTTTCCAAGTTAATAGCCCTGAATGTCCCATTTAAGAGTACATGATGGAAGACATCTGCTTTTATTATGGTACTGCCAAATGTAAGAGCCATCCTTAAGTTTCTGTGGGTATTATTGAAATTTTTATGAGAGAAAGTGCTTTCAAGTTTAGATGCCCTTGAAAACTTGGCTGTTCTGTAAATATGGTTCTTAATGCAATACATTACAATTTTTCTGTTGAAGTTTATTTTTCTGATTTAAAATTTTAACCTAATTAGAATCCTTCCACATATTTCCTATCAGTTTATAATCTGCTAATTTTTTGATTTGTGAAAGATGAGCTGAAAGCCACAATGGAAGAAAGGAAGTCTTCAGAAGCATCTCCCACTGCACAGAGAAGTAAAGATCAACGTATAGAATGCATAAACGCTCCCGATTCTCCATCCAAACAGCTTCCAGACCAGATTTCGTTCTTTAGTGGAAATCCATCAGTTGAAATAGTTCATGGTATTATGCATCTATACAAGACAAAGTAAGAAAAACCCGTTTCCTTTTGAATTGGTCTGTTTTTTTGTCTCAGGGCAGTGAAAAATTTCTTGCCCTGAGGAGCAGTGGATATTTTAAGCTTCAGAAGGATAATACTTTTCATGTATTGTATGTTAGAGAATTCTTAGATGTTTTATATTTGGTTACTCTTAGAGACTGGGTCAAAGCTTCTTCAAAAAGAAACATGTAGATACACTGAGAAAATACCTAAGAAAATTTTCCCTGGAAGGTAGGCATGCAAGATGATTGGAGAATTAAAAGGAAGGAAGATAAAAAGGAAAAAAAAAATTATAAATGATTCATAACATCATTGCAGTCTCATATCCCTTCAAATCTTTACTAAAAAAGCTGTTAAGTCTGTTAATGGACTACAATTTCATCATCTCTTCTAATCTTTTTTGTGGTCCACACAAAACTTAAAAGAAGCCAAAGGAAGGAAGCATTTGGCTGGATAATCTATAAGCTGGGTCATCAGCCCCTTGGATAATTGGTAGCTGATCTCTTTAAAGCCTATCCTCCTAACGTGTTTGCTAGGTCCCCACTGGGAAACAGTGAATACTCAGGTCACCTTTTGGGATCACACCTGTTGAAGTAAGTTTGCAGCATTTCAAAAGCAAGTTGGATTGTGGGAGGTTTTTTCTTTTTCCTCTATTCCAGCTATTCCAACCCAAAAGCACTTTCTGTAATCTTCAGAATCACATCTTCATAGTTCTGAATTCTCTTTCTTATATTTAGAATACCCCTCTTCTAGACCCCTGGAGAGAAGTGCATAGTTAGAGTTGCCCATTAACTTGTAGATTGAGTCATACTGTGGCTGCCTCTCTGCCTTTGTGGGGCAGTTTTCTTTAACTTCCAGAATAGTGATTTTAAAACTTAAGGAAAAAAAGAAGTAAAAACATAGAGTTGTGCTTCTCAGTTACCTAATGAGAATTTATTATTAAAAAGCTAATGAGAATAAAACACAAACCACTGATTTATAACCGTAGTAAGCCTTTAACTGAAGGTTAAAAATTTCAGTAAAATTTCAGTGGTGGGTGTAATCGAGACTGTTGCACAGCTTACCTTAAGCTCTGTTGCAGACATGTTGAAGGTATTCTGCATTAATCAGGTCGTGTGTGTTTTCAGTTATTGTAACACTGTATAAATCAATCTGTGAAGTATAACAAGGTTTTTTTTTTTCTATTTTCTTGGACATAAAAGTTGTCTAATTAGTGTTGTCTGAATTAACCATACCTCATCCATTCAAGACAGTCTAATTATTGTCTTATTAGTAAGATGACCTCCTTAAAAGAAGATGTGAGGCGCAGTGCCATGCTGTGTATTCTCACAGTCCCTGCTACAATGACCAGTCATGACCTTATGAAGTTTGTCGCCCCATTTAATGAAGTAATTGAACAAATGAAAATCATCAGAGACTCTACTCCAAATCAATATATGGTGCTGATAAAGTTTAGTGCACAGGTAAAAGTTAAGATATTAAAAATGTCTTTGCCACAGAAACTGTTTTTGAAACTGTGTGATGCTAGCTGTGTGTGATTTACATTTTGCACTTAAGATTCTTGATATACCTGTCTTCTAGGGTATTGTAATTCTAGAAATCTTTCTAAATTCGTTAGCAGACACACAATGCTAATTCGTACCCATAATGTTTTTATAAAGTGGATTGGGTATGAAATCTAGGATTGTGTGTATTTGGTTATCCAGTAGTAACTATTCCAGTAGAGTAGTAGTCCCCAAACTTTTTGAAATTGACACCATATTATCGTCTGTCCTTATAACACTGTGCCCCTGCTTCTTTCATTCTCTTTTTAAAAGACATCCCTTGGCACATTTTAGAAAGTAAGATCTGTTTAATACTTCTAATTTTGGTGATGAGGGATTTGGGGACGTTCCTTGAAGTATTAAAGATGTTTTAAGAGTTCTGATTGGAAATCACTGCAACAGAGACAGAAACAATGAAAGGATGGTGATATTTTCAGTTTTAAAAATTAGTTGCACGTTATTACAAATACTTTTTGATTTAAGAAGGTTTTGACATTCGCTTCATTTCACTTGTCACATTAAGCAGCATTTTCCATGTGCCTCAGTTCTAAAGATGTTAGGAAGGTAGTCTCTTGGTTTTATGTATTCATTCTTAATAGTACACATATTTCTGTATGAGTATAAGAGTGAGATAAGCTTTAGCTTTTACCCAGGTTGTTAAAGAGCCATCCTATCTGTAGGTTTTGGTTTGTGATGGGTTTTTATGTTGGTTTTGTGTTTTTAATGGCCTGTTTTATTTGTCCATTCAATTAGGTTTTGAAATGCAGCTTTGTCAAAAGTTACTTCTCTCTCACCTCCTTGGTAAACAGCATTCCTGAATTTGGCCCAGATAAGCAGTTCTAGCTTGCAGATTGGCAAAGAGTGGGTGCGCCTTTAGATCATTTGCCATTGCCTCTGACCTGTTACCAAAATTTGTGGGTGAAAGGGAGCCCATGACACGAGGCCCACTTGTCATCTCCTTCCTCCTTGCAGAAATCCAGAGTTGACAGCAATAGCAGTCATTCGTTGGCCAGGGGGAGGAAATTAAGAGGAGTGAGAGTTGGATTATGTTTGTGCCTATTCCATGGGCCACAAAAAGGGAACCCTTAGTGTAGAGTTCTGTGTACAAGAGGGTACACAATTGTTATCTTTAACCTTTACAAAATACCCCTCCATTGAGATGAGACATTTAAAATGTTTGAACTTTCCTGTGCGCAGACTTAGACTTCACAGGTTGACAATTAGAATGGAAAAGCACTTAAACAGCTGTGTTCACTAACTGTCAAGAGACCTTCCAAGGTCACTGAGGAGCTTTGCAAACAGTGGGCAAGTGGTACCTTTTAAATCTGGTAGCCCATGTAATATCAAGGATAATGATGATAATTTGCAATCTTACTGACTGCTTATGCTATACCACTCTGCTAAGTGCTTAATGTGCATTATCTCATGTAGTCCTCACCACAACCCTTTGAAGTAAGTACTGTTATTATCCTTGTTTTACAAATGAGGAAACTGACTGCAGAGGAGTTAGTGATTTGCCCTCAGTGACTGAGCTGGGATTTGAGCCCTCACTTTTAATCCTAGGGCATACTCTTCTTCCAGTAGGAGTGGATAAAAGTGTGGGAGATAATCACTTGGCAAGAAATTGTGTAATGGCAATATTTCAGTTATAGCTTCTACTTAACAGTTAAGGACAGTCAGCAAGTGACACAGGAAAAGTCATTGAAACAGTTTGGAGATAATCATTGAACATTACCTCAAAAACTAATGATATAAGTTCACTAATTGAATTTAAATAAAAAAACAGATTGGGGAAAAATGTTTAGACTTTTTAAACAGTCTAAAGTCTGCTAAACCCACAAACTGTACCAAGGGCCACCCTTCGTAGTGTGCAGGTAATGCTGCGCAACTTTTCTATTACTGTTAATGACTTTTTCTACAGTCTCTCCACCACCTGTCTTTTGACCAAATGCAGGTTGTACAAGTTCATGGGTGTTAGTTTTGAGACTATGAAACAGTGTGCTAGCTCTTCCCCATGGGGATAGAACCCTTGACCTGGGAATCATGAATTGTCTTATTTATTGCTAATGCTGGATCTTAGGGTCTGAGGCTTATCCTATCCGATTTTCTAAGGTCTAAAAACACCCTCCTAGTATAAGACTTGAAGTTAATACTGGGCCCTCATGAAAAAAAATAGGCCCAAATAGGTACCAACTATTAGGCACTTACTAGGTGCCAGGCCTGTTAAGTGCTTTTCATGCATTGGCTCCTTGAGTCCTCTCAACAATGCCACGAGATAGGTGTTGTTACTTTCACTTTTATAATTGAGGAAACAAGCATGGATAAATCACTTGCCCAAAGCCACACAACTAATAAGTGTTTGAGTTAAATTTCTTTTTTTTTTTTTTTTAAGATTTTATTTATTTATTCATGAGAGACAGAGAGAGAGAGAAGCAGAGGGAGAAGCAGGCTCCCAAGGAGCAGGGAGCCCGATGTGGGACTCGATCCCAGGACCCTGGGATCATGACGTGAGCTGAAGGCAGAGCTTAACCATCTGAGCCACCCAGGCGCCCCTTGAGTTAAATTTCAAACCCATGCAGCCTGACTCCATAGACTTGGCAGCTGACCATATTCTTTTTCCTTTCTCTTTTTCACCAGAGAATTTTTATAAAGAGTAATCCTTCTCTGTATCTCCTATAAGCTCTGGAATTTCTGTTGGCCTCAGCTTTATGGTGTAGGTGGGTTTTCGTTTTTGTTTTTTGTTTTTTTTTAAGATTTTATTTATTTGACAGAGAGAGATAGCGAGAGAGGGAACACAAGCAGGGGAAGTGGGAGAGGGAGAAGCAGGCTTCCCACTGAGCAGGGAGTCCGATGTGGGACTCGATCCCAGTACCCTGGGATCGTGACCTGAGCTGAAGGCAGACGCTTAAAGACTGAGCCACCCAGGCGGCCCAGTGCTGTAGGTGTTCTAATGTGATACTACACAGTTGTACTGTGACCCTTAGACTTAGTCTTCAGGTAAGGAATTATAATTCATTGGGATACAGGAAGGGAGGAGGGGGTTCAGTGACTCAAGTAGTTCTTGAGTCACTCACATGCTTAGGACAGGCCAGGAGACCCTCTTTCGAGAAGTAAAAACATGTTCTCGACACTACAGTTGATCACTGTGACAGTAAAGGAACATTGATCATAATGGATTTTTCTTTTCTGAGTTTATCCTGGGAAGAGGACAATTAGAACAAAAGACTCAAAAAAAACCAAAAACAAAACAAAAGCAGTGTTTCTTAAAATGTTAGGCTCTATACAATGCAAGCATTTTAAATAAAAGAGCTTTTCTATGCTTTTTGCAGTTAGCTTCAGGCTTTTGTTTTGTGCATTTCAGTAGTGGGTTGAAGTAGGAACCATGTGCATTTTGTTCTGTCCTCTAGTCCTAGCGCGTAGCACAGTGCCTGGTAGATGCTGGGTGCTCAGTAAATATTCAGACAAGCTACATTTCCAATACCGAGATTTTAAAGACAGAGATCCATGTGTTCAAAAAATACATTTCTTTGTCGTAGATAAACAACTCCCCCAAGAAAAGAGCCATTTGTCTGGTGTTGAGTAGATTTTGTCATCTGCTCAGCATCACAGACTTTGTCCCTTCCTCTGAGGAAGTGTGCTTGCTTAGCAAGTATTTACAGAGCTGGAGGTCTGAGGAGGGGTCGGCCTCTCCTCAGCTGGCACAGGTGCAGCCAGCTCCTGGTGGCCTTCCGGGTGGTCACTTCCTCAGTACACAGATCCATTTGCTCACTGTGCTGCTTACTCACCCAAAGCATTTCAAGAAAAAGACATTGCTCTTGAAGGTTGGGGGAAGCCAATTTAGTTTGCCTCCTCTTAGTATTAAAGAGATTTATTAACTGGCTCTTAACAATTTGAAGTTAAAATACACTATACCCAATACAGGTTGTTTCCTGAAAAGGAATCTCCCGCCCCCACCCTCCAAAACAAAACAAAATTGGGTTCAGAATTGATCATCTTTCCTCAGCTGCTTAGCTCATTTGGTCATATTGAGAAAATATAAATAATCAAGAATCCACACTTGAATTATATCACTGGAGTGAAATTCAAAGCTACTGAGAAGCTCACAAGATTTTGCTGTAAGATTCAGAATCCTGTGAGGGTAGACAAGCAAGACTATTTTTTTAACCTGGTACGGACTTGAAACTCTTCCTAGAGGTTGACAATGTGGCATTCCCTTTTGCAGAACACCCTTCCTCCCCCCATGTAGCTTGTCTGTGTTGGTAGGGCCAAAGCACACAACTTCCTGTGTTTGGGTTAATGTCCATGTGGGAGTGAAATCTAGACAAATCTTGGCCTCCCAGCTGCCTCTCAAAATTGCTGAGTTTAAAAACTGGAATCATCTCTTTGTTAACACTTTCTACTAAGGCTGTACTAGAAGGTTGGATTTACTTGTGTTCGTATTCACAAATGGAGTTTTATCTACAGGGGACTGTTTCCCCTGACTCTAATTTTCCACCCCAAGGAGCAAGACCATTAGTATTTTAGAGGCTGGTTCATCTTGGACCTCTTGATCTTGGCCAAGGGTTTTGCTTTCGATATTACACACTAGGTTGTTTAAAACCTCCTTATCTGTGATGTATTATTATTATTTGGTTCACTGAAGAAAAGGAGTAGGCTTTTCACTCCATACCAGTACCTCTAGTCCTTTATTCTCTCTAACATAGATGCTGACGTTTTTTAAAAAGAAAGCATCCCTAACAATTGTCCGTTATGATTGAGTTCTAAGCTTTGCAAAAATAAGTGTTGGCTTTCAGATGCTGAGAAAGTGCTGATTCGAGGAAAAAAAATATTGATATCAAGGGAACTGATGACCATTGCTGGTTGAATACTAAAGTCATATTGGCTGTCAGCTTATTGCAGTTGGGCAGCTTCTGCTGGTTTAAGTGAGACTGTCGTGGATCAGGAAACATTGTAGAGATGCAGGATATTGACTTGCAGAGTTTGACTCACCTAATGAACCTGCTTCCCTAGATGGTACTTTTGGCAGTTGCTTTCTCTCTTCTAAGTATACATTTTAAACGCTGATGAAGAGAATAACTGAAGCTATGCATCTTGAATAAAAAGCACATTTTCAGGATATTTCTCTCAATTTTTTCCTTTTCTCCATTGGTATACCTAGGCCGATGCAGATAGTTTTTATATGGCGTGCAATGGCCGCCAGTTCAACTCCATAGAAGATGATGTTTGCCAGCTGGTGTATGTGGAAAGGGCTGAAGTACTGAAATCTGAAGATGTAAGTGTGCATCATTCTTGTGTTTGTGTGTGTGTGACACACACAGACACACGTGAATGTCATAAGGTTGAATGTTAAGATTTATCTGTGGAAATGTCCAGAGTATGCCAATCCATCGAGACAGAAGGCAAATTAGTGGTTGCCAGGGGCTGGGGGATGAGAGGAATGAGGAGTGACTGCAGTGAGATCAAGATTCTTTTTGGGGTGGTAGGGATGTTCTAGAATTAGTGGTGAGGGCTGTACAACCTTGTGAAGATATTAAAACCCACTGAATTGTATAGTTAAACATGGCAGATTTTATATTAAATGAATTTTATCTCAATTTTTGAAAAGTATCCCAAAATATTAAAAAAAAATTATCTGTGTTATCGAAATTGAGTGTTCATCTATTCCAGATCCATGAAACATGGCCTGGAACCTAAAAGAAGCATTTTTACTTTAAATATCAACCCTTAATCCCTGTCCTAATGTTAATTCTGTTTGGATAACAATCTATAATTGCTCTGATTTGCCACCTTCCGTGGGACCTTTTCCCACAAAATGTGTTCAGTTAAATCATTTTATAAAGTAGGAGATTCAGCTCTGTTATATTTTTAAGATTTTCTTTCTTTTAAAGTAGACCTAAAGGTTTTTTTACTTTGAAATCAGCTTGATGGAAATAAGTTCTCATTTGATTGTTCTGTCATTAGATTAGGTAAAATAAAAATTGACAAATGATAAAATCAGGCTTCCTTTGTGCCAGTTTTAGAGATTCTTTTCTCTAAATGAACATGGCTTCTTGAAAGAGTGCCTGTGAAAAGCTACTCTTCAGGGACCATAGACAAATGTGATTTTTCTCAGCATGTCCTTGTGTGCATACCTCCCCACCTTTGCGTCAGTAATTCCTGCTCATTTTACAGCTGGCAGGGCTCAAGTCAGACGTCACTGTCCTGGGGGTGGTGGTGCAGGGGGTGCCTTTCTTGACCACCCTGTTTTGGCTTCCTATACTTTTCTTTAATAGCACTTATGACCACTGGTAATTTAAAAAATTTGACTTTCGTCTCTCTCTAGCAGATTATAAGCTTGTGAGGACAAGGCCCTAAGTTGTTTTGGACTTAGCACATCTGCTTTGCTCACCATTGTGCTACACCTAGAACTGTCTGGCATACATAGTAAGGACTCAATAAGTGTGTGTTAAATGAATGAATAAATCAGTGTTGTTGATACTATTATCACTTAGTAGGAGGTGTTAGGTTTTAACTTACTCTGTGGAAAAATCATTCTGTTCCATTCTTGTTCTGCTTTTATTCATTTGTGTTCTGTTATAGTTACAGAGCCTTAAAAGTAGAGCCAGGAGTCTGGTAACACTTTAGATTCTCTGGGTTTTTTATTTTTTATTCTCTGTTAAGCTTTTGGTAGCAGTCTCCCTTTCCAGAGTATCAGCTCCGTGAGGGCAAGTATCTTTGTTGGCTTATTCGCCAGCCTATCCCTAGTGCCTTGCACAGCGCTAGGAATATAGAAGGTGCTCAGTCAATATTTGTTGTATGGATGAACATCTTACCAATTTAAATTATTTGCACAGAGCAAAAATGTTGAGAGCATCCTGCCAAGAGTCAAAAAGCAGCAAGAAAACTGGTGTTAAAAACATATATTAGAACCGTGGATGAAGAGTGAGACTTATGTGAGGTGTTTCCCTGTAGGGTGCCAGCCTCCCCGTGATGGACCTGACCGAGCTCCCCAAGTGCACGGTGTGTCTGGAGCGCATGGACGAGTCTGTGAATGGCATCCTCACCACGTTATGTAACCACAGCTTCCACAGCCAGTGCCTGCAGCGCTGGGATGACACCACGTGAGTGTAGGAGCTAATCCCCCATCCTGTCAAAGCCCGTTATTATCCTTTCCTAGAATTAAAAATAGCCACCACCAAAAATGAACCATTCCAAGTGCTTGACTTTATACACCTGGGCACCATGACAGTGAAGAGGTTGCATGGAAGGGCCTTCCATTTTTCTTCACTAGTTCATGTGGGAATCAATTAGCATTCTTAGACCACGTCCTTCTTAGTATGCTGATTCAGAATCTATGTGGGATTTCCAAAAGCAGCATGAATTGTTGCTTCCAAGAACCAGAGAATGAGAGGGAAAAAAAAAAAAAAGGTAAAGCTGAGCTTTGAGGCTCTTCTACCCAAAGGAAATTTAGGTCTAAAATCTCATTTATCACCTGCACTTGATGTTTACCATTTACTTTGGCTTTCTTACCATGTGGGCTATGGTAGTCTAACATTTCAGACTTAGCATGTTGTTGATGACTCAGTGGCCAGTAGTAATAGCAGCCACTAGGTATGAAGCACCCGTATGCCTACACTGTCCTATTTCCCACTGCAGTAGAGGCCTTATTTGTAGGGTGGCGTCGCACAGGCAAAGGACTGAGGTGTAAGCTGTACCTTGGTTTTTGTTTTTTAAATCAAGGGTCGTTCCTCCCTTTGTAAACTGTGCTGTAGGACTTAGCTTGAAAAGTAAATCAAGATGCTGACCTGGGTCTCCCACTACAGAGAGGAAGACAGAATCAAATAATCACACAAATAAATACACAGCCGTAGCCGTAACAGGGGTTACAAAGGAGCAGTGTGCAGCATTACGACTGGAGAACAAGGGCCCTGAGATCGCCAGGGCCGCCTGAGAGGTGCAGTCTCCAGGAGGATGAGGAGGCATTAGCCAGGGAAAGGGGGACCTGAGAGAAGGCAGTGTGAGGGCAGGGGTGTGCATGGGAAGGGGAAGGTCACATGCCAAAGCCCAGAAATGAGGAAGGAAGGTGAACATCCACAGGAATCTGTTGTCTACCCCCAAGTGACTAGAAGAATGACAGCTTTCACAGAGCAGGGACCTTGTCTGGCTTGCTCACTGCTGTGCCCTCATCCTTAGCAGGAGACCTGGCACATAGTAGGAGCTCAGAAAATACTCTTGAGCAGATGAGTAAACCCTGGGTTTTTCTAGCCTGTTTAGCTTGACAAGAATCTTGCCCCAATTCTAGAGGGTCCTCAGTCAGTTCTGGGGTATCATGTGGGGGCTCTTCAAAGAATTGTCCAGGTTTAAATTCACCTTGAAGAAAGCCACACTAAGGTATATGCATTCCATAAAGTGTTTATCTGTATCTTGTGTCCATCTGCTACACCACTTAAGTTTTGGACACCTCTTTGTTCCCTACCACCCCAGTTTTACTCTCAGGGCAAATTAACTGCCCCAGAAGCATAGCATTTTAAAGTTAGAAGTTTAGGGGACCATATTGTCCAGCCTCCTCATTTTACAGAGGAGGTAACTGAGACCCAGAAATGAAAAAATAGCTGTCCTGCAGAGAAGGCCAGCACTGGGACTAGAATTCAACCGTCTAAATGGACAAACCTGGTGGTGGCTAGCCTCAAAAACACATAGTTTCTTCAGCAAATATGTTTTGAGCCTTAGTACACGCACCGTATAGTGCTGGTGCTGATGGGAGAGAATCAAACATAGATTCTCCTCAGGGAAGTTCAGTCAGCTAAGGGAGCTTACATAAGTGCATACAATTCAAGGTAGAAACCGGAGGGAAATAGAGACGGCTTCCCCAGTGGGGGTAGTCAAGAAGGGCTGCATGGTGGAGGCAACATTGGTATGCAGTCCTGAAGGGTAGTTTTTTGACACATGGAGATGTCAGAGAAGGACATTTTGGGAAGTTTTCCCCAAATACCTCCTCAAGAAAGTAAGATGACAACTCAAACTTTATTTTTAAGGAGAAGGAAGCATTTAATAAACTGTTAATTATCTTTTATTCAGTGAGATGGTATGTCATAGTATACTATGTGTATAGTATAAATAAGGTGATTTTTGTAATTTTTTTTCCTTTTTTTATTCTCGGGATCATACTTATATTTCAGAAGGATCATTCTGGCATAATGTAGGAAATAAGATTTCAGAATTCATGAATTTTTATCCCACCACTACCACAGCTGCCACACAGACCAAAGGAATGACTCAGAGCTAGTTTGTACCTTCGATGAGACAGCTTGCTGCTCACTACAGCTGCCATTCCTATTGTTTCTTCAAGTTTGTCTTCTAGCTTTTTTTTAAAGTTTTTATTTAAATTCCAGTTAACATACAGTGTTACATTAGTTTCAGGTGTGCAATATAGTGATTCAACACTTCCATACATCACCCTGTGCTCATCACAGGTGTCCTCCTTCATCCCGCCACCTCATTCACCCATCCCCCCATACCCCTCCCCTCTGTTACCATCAGTGTGTTCTCTGTGGTTAGGAGTCTGTTTCTTGGTTCATCTCTTGCTCTCTGTCTTTTCCCTTTGCTTGTTTGTTTTCTTAAATTTCACATATGAGTGAAGTCATATGGTATTTGTCTTTCTCTAACTGACTTATTTTGCTTAGCATTATACTCACTAGCTTCATCCACATTGTTGCACATGGCAAGATTTCATTCTTTTCAATGGCTGAGTAATATTCCATTGTGTATATATATGCCCCATCTTCTTTATCCATTCATCTGTTAATGGACACTGCTTCCGTAATTTGGCTGTTGTTGATAATGCTGCTGTCAACACCCGGGTGCATGTCTGGCTTCTCTTTGATATTATCTGTGATAAGAAATTCATGTTCTTCCTGCTAATTTTCTTTTCTTGGTTTTATTTACTCAGTTGGGTAACAAATGGATATTAGTTATGTCTTAAGCATTCTTTCTTCTTGGTGCCAGTTCATAATTAGCTTCAGTTATAACCTACTTTCTATCATTTTTGCCCACCTGACAAATATTCATGACTGGTACTTAGTGTTATTTTGTCTTGAGTATAACAGAAAGGCATTAATGGATTTTTTAATGGACTTTTCCCGCCAGGTTTATTGAAGTATAACTGATCACCAAAAAATTGTATATATTTAGGGGTGCCTGGCTGGCTTATTCTGTAGAGTGTGTGACTCTTGATCTCGGGGTCATGAGTTCGAGACCCACATTGGGGGTAGAGATTACTTAAAAATAAAATCTTAAAAAAACTGTATATATTTAAAATATACAACCTGATGACTCATTATACAGACACATTATGAAATGTTCACAACCAAGTCAACATATCTTACCTCACACCTTTACCATTTTCCTTGTGTGTGTGTGTGTGTGGTAAGAACACCCAAAGTCTCTCTTCTTAGCAAATTTCAAAAACAATATAATATTGTCAACTATAGTCACACTGATGAGCACCAATTCTCCAGAATTGATTCATCTTGCATAATCGAAACCTTATAACCTTTGACCAACACCTCCCGATTGCTGCCTCCCCCTAGACCCTGGTATCCCATCTGCCTTTCTACTCTGTTTCTGTGAGTTTGCCTTCAGTGCCATTTGAATTGACTTTTTGTAAATTGACACTTGAGTACTTCGCACTGGTAGCCTCTTCCACATGTTCATTGTATGGTAACAGGCCCTGTGCATTCCAATATTAACTTCTTTTTGGTGAAATTTATTACAGATTTTAGTTTTAACTCTTGGGGGCAACCCGGAGAAGACAGTACATTTTGAGTGATTTAGATCTTTGGGAAATAAGGTAGATTTTTTGAAGTAAAAATACCTTATGGATAACTGGACATAAAATTAATAACTTATCTCAAGTCCCTAATTCTAACTTGTGCATATTTAGTTCTTTAAGCTTTAGACAGAAGAATGGAAGAAGACATGAAGCAGATCAAGACTCCTTCCTTTTCTTCTTCCTTTATCAAGATTTTGTATTTTTTTCATTTGAGAATAACTTGCAAGTGTTCTTCGCATGTTATCATTAGCTATGATAAACACATAGCATGTAAGAGACTGAAGATTTAAAATGCAGTTTTTGACTTTTGGTTCTGTAACAGCTATCTCTTGTATTTCATCTGCACCATTCTCACTTGGGGTCCCGGACAGGTGTCCTGTGTGCCGGTACTGCCAAACGCCAGAGCCAGTGGAAGAGAATAAGTGCTTCGAGTGTGGCGTGCAGGAAGTAAGTGCCGGCGGCTGCTGGGAAAGAATAGTGAGGTCAGCTTTCGTGGTCTGGGGTTTGCTTCTGCCCGTGTGGCTTAAATTCTTTTCGATTCTTTTCAGGCTGATTCTTTTTTTTTTTTCTTTTTGTCTAGGGTCGGGCAAGAAGTATAAATTATTTTACGTTCCTCAGCAAAATACTTTTTGCTTTCCGTTCTTTGTTTTTTTGAAAAGGACTAGACTTTTGCTGATAAATTGTGAATATTTGTCTTACTGTTTACCTAGAGTTCCTTAAAACCCAGAACGAGAAAATGATTGACCCGTAAAAGCATCCTTGCTTTTGGGGTTTTAAACATACATTTATTCAAAACTCCTGTAGAAACAACTCAGCTTCATTCCGTGTCAGGCCCCTTCCCACTCTAAGCCAGCCAGATCATATGTTTTTGTATAACTAATGAAGATCTTTCCTTCTCTGTGGCAGAACCTGTGGATTTGTTTAATATGTGGCCACATAGGATGTGGACGGTATGTAAGTCGACATGCTTATAAGCACTTCGAGGAAACACAGCACACGTACGCCATGCAGCTCACCAACCATCGAGTCTGGGACTATGCCGGAGGTGAACACTGTTCTCGTGTTCTAATTTGGATTCATTCTGCATGAACATCTCTCCCTAGGAACCTCTCTGCTTTCTCTCCCAGCTTGAAATCTTCCTGACAGCTGCGGCAAACTCAAATTCTCACGGTGCCCCATAGGGCACTATTTTCTACAAATGGCCTGAATTGCACATTATAAAGAGAGTTAACACTTCTATACTTGCCCGCTCACTCTTGCTTAAATTCAAATGATTTAGCCCACTTGTACAGAAGTATTGCCAAGCATTTAATTTAGAATACGTAAAAACAAAAATTTTGTCAAAGTTAAAAGTGTATGCAGACCCTTTTCATTGTGAAGAAACAAGCCTTGATTGATGCGTTCATTCTTTTCTTCAGATAACTATGTTCATCGACTGGTTGCAAGTAAAACAGATGGAAAAATAGTACAGTATGAATGTGAGGGTGATACTTGCCAGGAAGAGAAAATAGATGCCTTACAGTTAGAGGTAAGATACTTTATTAGTAATTACTAAGTACCTTTTTTTACTGCTTTTTATTGTCCTAACTTAAAAAGTGGCTTGGGCTTTTAATTTTGTCATTTACTCTGTATGTCAACTATGTAAAGTTCTGTCATTGCTGCAAAGAATTATTAAAATATTTTTATTCTGTCTGATTATCCTCTTTGAAAGTCTAAGTCACCGTGCCTCATTATTTTGAATGTGTGATGTTCCTCATTGTCTCAAGCTCAATACTAAGGTGGTCCACTAGCTGCAGTAAAACTGGAAGTTAAGAATCTGCCTGGTGGCGTTCCAGTAGCATTTGGAAACTGAGCAGTTCAGAATGAGGAAACCCCAGTAGCATCCTTCCATGTCCGGGAAGCTTTCTTGTATCTTAGACATTTTATGAATTAGACACTTACATACTCAAAGTATGTATTTTATGAATTTGATGCTTATATACATAAAGGCATTTGGGGGTATGCATATAGTTGAAGAAACAACAAAAGTAGCACAATCTGATTTTTCACTGTAGCAATAAATCCCATCTACTATAAAATTATTGTACTGTAAATTTTACATTAATGAGGTTGAACACAAGTCTTGCTTTTTTCATTTTTTTTTTTTTTTTAAGATTTTTAAAAATTTATTTGACAGAGGGCAAGTGAGCACAAGCAGGGGGAGAGGCAGAAGGAGAGGGAGAAGCAGACTCCCCGCTGAGCAAGGAGCCCGATGTGGCACTCGATCCCAGGACCCTGGGACCATGACCTGAGCCGAAGGCGGTCGGTTGAGTGGGATTGAGCCCCAGGTCAGGCTCTGTGCTCAGCATGGAGTCGGCTTGCCCCCTCCCCCTCTGCTCCTCCCCCTGCTTGTGCTCTCTCTCTCCCTCTCTGTCTCAAATAAATAAATAAGTAAAATCTTAAAAAAAACTTAACCTTGGAAGGAAATTTGAAAACTTGCTCATCTCTAGACTTCTATGGTCTAATAGACTCAGTAGAAGGACCTAAAATAAAGCTGATGTTCTTACTATTAATTGTATTAATATGAAAAAAAAGTTTAAACCTTCTACATTGTTATTAGAATAAGCAACCCTTCCACATTAACTCTAAATATATTCATTCAACAAATGTTTATCGAGAGCTGCTGCTGTCTGTCAGCCAGTCTTCGTGGTGCTGGGAATGCAGCATTGATCAGCCCCCGTGCCCATTCCTGTGGCACACACATGTTCCCCCATCTGGCCTTTCTCTCTCTTGCACCTTCATTCTCTTCTCTAGTTTACAAACACATTCAGGTCTCTTTTAGTCTCTTAGAATGGTCTTTCTGAAATGTAGATGTGATGTTGCCACTCCATGGCCCACATTTCTCAGTATAATACCCCAGAGCCTTCCATAAGACTCCATCTGTCCATACCTTGCACCCTCGCCTCATTGATGTGACTCCTTCATCTTGAAGAGATCCTGAATGTCCACAGCTCACATCTGGGTCCAGTAGTTCTCTGGAATCAGATCTCTGTCTTTACCTGTCCCCTCCTATCTGTTGAAAGCCCTCCCAAATCTCTCCTCTCAGAAGTCCTGCCAGACCCTACTGCTGTAAGCCATCTATCCTTTCTCTGTAGTTACAAGGCACCGTTCCTTCATTCATGCAGTCAGGTAGCAAACATTTCTTGATATCCAGCATGTGCCAGGCACTGTGGCCACAGAAATAAAGGTAGAACCCTCACTTTCAACGAGTTGGTAGTCTAGTCAGGGAGACCCGGTGATTAAGTGCTCTTAATGAGCTGAGAGGACCGCTTAATCCAAAGCTGGGAGGGACAGGGACAGCTTACTGGAGGGGGGTGAGCTGATTTGAGTTATACTTTGATTTAAAAACCTGTGGTTCTTAAAGGTAGCTTGAACAGAAACTTACTTGTTTTTTTATTTGTTTGTTTCTTTTTGAAGATTTTATTTATTTGACAGAGAGACAGGAGAGAGGGAACACAAGCAGGGGGAGTGGGAGAGGGAGAAGCAGGCTTCCCGCTGAGCAGGGAGCGTGACGTGGGGCTCGATCCCAGGACCCCGGGATCATGACCTGAGCCGAAGGCAGACGCCTAATGACTGAGCCACCCAGCCGCCCCCAGAAACTTATTTGTTAATGTACATTTCTCTGCTTGCTTGTCCAGACTAGATGGTAAGCCCCAGGACAGGAGTGTAATTGACATCTCTGTATTCTCCTGGTCTGTTGAGAGTGTAACCAAGATATAATACACATTCTGATGGTTACGCCTACTCTTCTGTAGGTGATTAAAAGTTGGGTTTTAATTGAATTTAAGAAACTACAGTGATTTATGTTTTGTTGTCTATTCTCTATGTTTCTAGTATTCGTATTTACTAACAAGCCAGCTGGAATCTCAGCGAATCTACTGGGAAAACAAGATAGTTCGGATAGAGAAGGACACAGCAGAGGAAGTAAGTTTTTGGTTTGGTGCTGCTGACGTGCCACATGGCAGGGCTATCTGATGTTGGGGTGGGAGAAGGCAGGATACAAGAAAAGAGGAATGCTGGAATCTTCCTTAGTCTGATACAGAGATAGAGAATTGTTTTGCCTCTAAAAAGAAATCTTTGTTATACGTCAGTTATATCTCAGTAAAGCCGGGGCGGGGGGCATGCGGTGTGCAGAGAGAAGAAAGAAAACAAGAATTTGGAATCAGTTGGCTCACCCCAGTAATCTAACTTTAGATCAGAATTCCAGAGAGAAGTGGTTAAAAACATGAATCACCATTATATTACAGACTTAGCCCCTGAAGGCAGTATCAGGCAACAAGAAATTCTAGACCACAATAAGAATGAAATTAGTCAAAAAGAGGAGAAGGAAGAGACTAAAATATGCTGTTGCAAATGCAGCCAACTGAGCATTATTTAAGAAGGGGAGGGAAGCCAACATATATTCTCACCTAGGGTCAGTAAATCAAGACGAGTGGATTAAAATTGTATGCTGAGCTCAATATTACACTAAATATATGAGGAAGAAATGAAATATCTGCTATATACTCTAAAAAAAGAAAACTTGGATTTAAAGACTTGAGTATTTTGGTATTTTTGATTGGGGGGAGATTTGTTTGTTAACTTCGATCAGGTTTTTTAGTGCTTTATGCAATTCCATTAAAAAAAATAGAAGTATGTACAGGAGGGCCTGTAATTTGAGTCAGCCAGTTGGTTTGTCAGCTTGGGAACAGCTGCTTTGAGGAGCTACGTGTGGGCTTCTGTCGCAGCAAGATGGTGCCAAGCTCTTCGAAATCGCAGAAAAGAAACGAAGGCAGAAGTGCTAGAGCTTCAGTGATTCCCGTGGTTCCTTGTTTATCTAGGGCAGAGGTTTCTGGATTTTTTTTTTTTTTTGAAGATTTTATTTATTTGACAGAGAGAGACACAGTGAGAGAGGGAACATAAGCAGGGGAGTGGGAGAGGGAGAAGCAGGCTTCCTGCCGAGCAGGGAGTGTGATGCGGGGCTAGATCCTAGGACCCTGGGATCATGACCTGAGCCAAAGGCAGACGCTTAACAACTGAGCCACCCAGGTGCCCCGAGGTTTTTGGATTTTAACAAAACCTTTAAAGAAGATGCCAATTCACTACTCCAACAGGTGAAAGAGAAAAGTGTTGTGATTTTGGTGGAAACCCAGATGGAGGGCACAGAGCTTCATTTGCTTGCTTTTCCCATTGTCTCCAGCACTTGCAAGGAACCCTTGTTCCAAAGTAGGGAGTCTGGAAACTAGTGAGCTCCCGAGGGTTCGTGTATAATGGGAGCTCCAAGAACCTTTCTCAGGTTCTAGGGACAGTGTTCATAATTCACTGATCCTCTTAGTATTAAATACAGGCTTTAAAATTTTTGTTAATGATTATTTTAGTAACTTTGTGAGTCCCCGGCAGTAACTAGACCTTCAGATAAGGACTGCAGAGCCAGGCTTGGGTCTCATCTGTGCAGTAGCTAGGATTACCCTGGAATTAAGCAGGGTCAGGCTTACACATTGGCCAGGCCCTTTGGCCCCAGTTTCTGGATATGCCTACAAATGAGAAATCAGGCCTCTAAAATTTAAAGGCTTAACACCAGCTTTAACATGATCTTTAGTTAAAAGTTCTTGATGTAGTTGATACAAGAATGTTCCAGGTGATGAAAGTGCCTTTCCAGAGGCACTCAGGGTCACTTGATGGACTAGTTCTGCATAGGGCTTGATTGGAGTACATATAGGAAGGACGTGCCTCCGACAGCACTCAGGAGGCAGAGCACGAGTCGCTGCCACTTGGTGTCAAGTTATGAAGTCCCAGGGAGGAACATTGGCAACTCTGCGCAGCCTCAGTAATGGGTTTTTGCACAGAGGTTATACCTAAAGTGCTTCACGCAGACCCTTGAGAGCTAAGCTTAGGGTCCTCTCCACCTTTTAAGATTCTTTAGGATTAACTGCATTCCCTAACAAATACCCATGAAAAGTAAGTCAAGGGGCAGGAAAGCTAAACACTGAAATTTGTGTTTCCTTTTACGTAGGGGTAAGATGGAGGCAAGGGCAGCCCTGCATAAAAGCTGGAAGGGCTTGAAAAGGATATTTTGTTTTCTAATATCAAATGTTGCTTTTCCATAAGTTAACGGATGATGCAGGCTTTTTGTTCCTGCCACTGTCCTCCTTTTGATCAGTCCTCTGTCCATTGGCACCACCAGCAGGAGACCATGTGCCCGGAGAAACAGTAATAGACCATGGGTTTCACTGACAGAGATTCTTGGTCATGGGCCTCATTGTGGACTTGTTACAATACCGTTCCTGCCACTACCCCCCACCATGCCTTAGGTAGTGCGATTACTATAGCACGTGAGAGTCTGTTCTAGAAGCTCATGCCCACTCGAAGGTTCTTGTTTTATTGGGGCTTTGTAGGAAGAACATAGAGCAGGCAGTCAGGACAAGTGAATTCCCCCAAAGATCTGTCTTTTCTCATTGGACCTGGAGCTCCATGTAAATCAGTATTTTTCTAGCTGTGGATCGTGAAATGAGTTTGATAGAGCGCAGCTGACATTTTTATGAAACAGGATAGGATGGGTATAAAATATCAGCGCTTTGCCATATTTAATATTGTTTTGTGAAGCTCTTGGCGTCAGTTGTGTGTGTATACTTATATTGAATGTTTCTTATTGTGGGCTCATAGAAAGGTTTTAAAAAGCACTGATTTAAACCATTGTAACATTTGTGTATAGCAATTGTAAAGAGCTTTTTGGGGTTACTTGGTTTTCATCTTGTTATAAGTGCATTTGGCCTAAGTATCTTCAGTGAGCAAAACATATACAGTTTGGTTCCTTTTGATAGTCATTTTTGTCCTTTCCAATTTCCCTAAACTAACAGAAGTCAGTTCAGGAGAAAACGTACAAAGGAACTAATGGTCTTTTATTTTATTTTATTTTATTTTTATTTATTTATTTAAAGATTTTATTTATTTGACAGAGAGAGACAGTGAGAGAGGGAACACAAGCAGGGGGAGTGGGAGAGGGAGAAGCAGGCTTCCCACGGAGCAGGGAGCCCGATGCAGGGCTCGATCCCAGGGACTCTAGGATCATGACCTGAGCCGAAGGCAGATGCTTAACGACTGAGCCACCCAGGCACCCCTGGTCTTTTATTTTAAAACAGTATTGGGGAGGAAATTAATACCAGAGCAATTTTTTAAAAAGTTTTAAAGAATTTATTTATTTATTTGACAGAGAGAGCAAGCACAGACAGGGGGAGGGGCAGAGAGAGAGGGAGAAGCAGGCTTCTCACTGAGCAGGGAGCCCAATACAGGGCTGGATCCCAGGACACTGGAATCATGACCTGAGCCGAAGGCAGACGCCCAACTGATGGAGCCACTCAGGCACCCCAAATTAGAGCAGTTTTTAAGCTATTTTTATTTTCATGACATAGGGGAATCTTCCTCCAATTGCGTGTTCTTCCAACTTAAGAGAAGTCGGCTATAAAGTTAATTTCTACAGTTATTTTCTTATTATTAAAAAACAAAACAAAACAGTGCTGTTTAGAAATCTGTTAGGTAGGCCACGTGGCAAGTTTTTAAAAGAAAGTATGAAAAGCAGTGGCCCTTTTTCTAACATGATGGACAATGCTAAGAGTTTATATGTGCCAAGGGTCACTTTTCCTTTGCTGTACAGCTGTGACCTGCAGTGTAGTACAGGGAGGTTTAGAACTTGGCTCTGCATCCAGATTTGGTGTCCAGTCCTGGACCCACCATGCTCTAGTTGGGTGACCTTGGGCAGATTGCCTCACCTTTCTATAAGCCCGTTTCTGTGAAAGGTTGCCACATCGAAGTCTCCGGCTTCTTATAAGATATAAAGGAGATACTGCTTACAAAACACCTGGCTGGTATGTGGGCCATAGAATTTAAATTCTCAGTCCCTTTCAGTTCGTGTTATTACTGCCTCATGATCCACCCAGCCTCAGTACTTCTCCTTCCCATCTAATCTTCGCCTTGTGTCCTTACCCCAGTAGGGCTGAGGCATTTCTCAGTTGTGTAGATTGTCACACCTGGGTGAATCCAGCATCTACTTAGCTAGACTTCAAAAGTCTCTTGGTTTCTGACACAGAATACACCAGAATTTCAAAATTCTCTTCAGTTGCTAAGATGATGTGACATGAACTCGTTCTCTCTATATTGCACTTACAAATTAACTCGAAACAAGAACTGCTTATGTTCCATGTGGCTTTGTGGTACATGAGAAAATTAATAAAGAGTTGGGGGGGGCACCTGAACAGTTAAAATCAGTTATCACCATTTTCTTGGATTAAATTAGTTTGTTAGATTATTTGTTTTTTTTTTTTTTTTTTTTTATTTATTCATGAGAGACAGAGAGAGGCAGAGGGAGAAGCAGGCTCCCAAGGAGCGGGGAGCCCGATGTGGGACTCGATCCCAGGACCCTGGGATCATGACCTGAGCCGAAGGCAGACGCTTAACCATCTGAGCCACCCAGGCGCCATATTTGTTTTTTTTAAAGGTTTTATTTATTTGAGACAGAGAGATACAGAGAGAGAGAGAGCATGAGCAGGGAAGAGGGAGAAGCAGGCTCCCAGCCAAGCCAGGAGCCAGACGTGGGACTTGATCCCAGGACCCTGGGATCGTGACCTGAGCCAAAGGCAGATGCTTAACAATCTGAGTCACCCAGGCGCCCCTGTTAGATTATTTGGATAGTAATTTTTGGAATGTGATCTCAGGAGGAAAAAAAAATGATGAGTTAAGAAGAGGAGGCTCTGGTCTGGGCTCTGACAGACCGTCTCCTGCTCGGCTGCCTGAAGCTCTTCCTTCACTTTTGAGTCTTTTGCTTGACATTCAGCTGCTCCTGATCACTCTGGTATAGATAAACAGTAAGGCGGGGAGAAAGGATTTCTCAGAATGTTTATTTCCATTACAGAAATTCTTTCAAATGATCGTCTCACCTTTTCCTAGTTTGGTTTGTCAAAGTTATAGACAGGTGACTGAAGAAACTGGTCAAGTTAGCCCCAGAGAACACACAACTATGCCTCTGTGAAGTGAAACTGACCTCTGTTTGCTCTTCCAGATTAACAACATGAAGACCAAATTTAAAGAAACAATTGAGAAATGTGATAATCTGGAGCACAGACTAAATGATCTCCTAAAAGAAAAGCAATCTGTGGAAAGAAAGTAGGTGTAATTCGTCTCTTTTAATTAGCTTTTTCATTGTAACAGGCTCATAAACAGGTAATCTCCTCCATTCCGGTGGAAACACTTTCCAAATGTGTCTATCACTGGGTTTTCAGGGGTCTCCCTATATATGGAGCAAACTTATTGTGACTTTCCGTTTATTAAAAACTATAGCGTTTCATGCCAGGTGGATGCCATGTGGAATGCAGCACTCTCCCCTGACGTCTTTGCTTATTGTATGTGCAAATATCTTTCATTTTTGCCTCTAGAAAGCAACTGCCTTGTGCTCAGAGCTGCAGCTTCTCTGAGCCATGTGGCTGAGAACTCTCAGTTAGGAGAGCGACTGTCTAAGGCAGAGATGGTGTGTACTCTGGCCTTAGACAGGAATTAAAGGCCAAACTTGTTGAATATGGTGCGAAAAGCTCAAAAACAGCGTGGCAAGAACGTACTCTACTACTGTTAGGGGAAGGTAGTTGCTGCTGATTGAAATTACTTTCTAGTTTAAGTATACTCACAAAAATAACTGATTTTTTACTTCCGGACAAACAGATAAAAAATAAATTTAAGGAGGATAGCTTTAAAAGTTGTTTTGTTTTTTAATAAACCTTTATTCTGGTAGAAATTCAGATTTACAGAGGCTACCAAGATAGTGCAAAGAGTTCCCATTTACCCTTCACCTGTTTTCCCCCTATTCAAAAGTATGGGTTATTTTTTTTTTTAATATTTTATTTATTTATTAGAGAGAGAGCATGAGAGGAGAGAGGGTCAGAGGGAGAAGCAGACTCCCCGCCGAGCAGAGAGCCCGATGCGGGACTCGATCCTGGGACTCTAGGATCATGACCTGAGCCGAAGGCAGTAGCTTAACCAACTGAGCCACCCAGGCGCCCTAAATATAGAGGTTATTTTAATAGTTTGGTTTTTTTTTTTTGTATTGTGGCAAAATCTATGTAACATAAAATATGTTAATGACGTTAAGTGGCATTCACAACATCCTGCTACTGTCACCACTATCTGTTTCAAAATTTTTTCTTCACCCACAACACTCTTCACCAAAGTTTTTTGGTTTTGTTTGTTTTCTTTTAAACATTTTATTTGTAAGTAATCTCTGCACCCAGCATGGGGGCTCAAACTCACAACCCTGAGATCAAGAGTTACGTGCCCTTGAGGCAGCCAGGCATCCAAGGGTTTTTGTTTGTTTGTTTGTTTTAAACTTCTGTAAAAACAACACTACGGCATTAAGAGAAATTAAAATATTCTTCTATACTTCCGCTCCCTAACAAACTATATGAAAGAATTAAAACTGGAAGGTTTTTTCCACCCTGTAGATCATGCTATCTATCTAGAGGTTACCATTACTAATTAATGGTACCAGTGAATATTTACTCTTCCAAATCTTTTGCTCAATTCTCACATACATAATCTTTCTTCTAAAAAAAAAAGAATACTATTAGGTATTCTGTTTGGTAAATATTCTGTTTTGGAGATTTTTTTTTCATATTAGTACATCTAGATCTATCTTGATCTTCATAAAGGCTGCACAGTATTCCATTGTCTGGAGGTCCCATAATTTAACCAGTTCCCTGTTGATGGATGTTTAAGTTGTCTCAAGTCTTGGACTACTATAAACTCTGTTGCAATGAGCGTTTTGCTCCATGTTTCTTTCAGTGTAGTCTGAAATTATTCTGTAGGATAAATTCCTAGCATAGGTGTGGCAGAGGGCACATAAAATTTTGATTTTTATAGGTATTGCCAAGGTGACTTCCAAAGAGTTGGTAGCAGTTCATGTTCCAGTGCCAATGACTGGAAGCTCCTCTTTCTTTCCCCACGTCTGAGCCCTTTGGCATTCTGATACAGAAAAATGATATCCCAAATGGTGTTTTAATTTGTAATTCTTTACTTATGAGTGAGATTGAGCATCGAGAACAGGGCACCCCCTGTCCTTGGGAGCTGTCCCCCGGCGAATGCGCGTGGCTCTCCGAGAGCGTCACTTTTCTTCAGAACTTCTTTATCGTGGCTGTTGTCTCTGAGCCACCTACCTGACCACAGACTGCAAAGCAGAGAAGCAGTAGGAGTTTTACCAGGAATCGCAGAATCGTTTCTGCAATTGAAAAATGCCTGATGCCTAGAAAAATTGTCCTGAAGCCACGCTGTTAACTCGAGCAAAATCCTTGCTTTGTAAAGCTGTTGCAGTGGCAGCCAACCAGTCTCCTTCTGCCGCAGGGGGGAGGAGTCCAGTCCCTCAATGGATTCTGAGATCACAGTGCCTCTGTTCAGTCCCAGGGCAGAAAGGGGACCGTGTCAGCAAGTGAAAAACATGCTTTTTTTCTTCCTTTGTTTTGCAAAAGGTGCACCCAACTAAACACGAAAGTGGCCAAACTCACCACAGAGCTCAAAGAGGAGCAGGAAATGAACAAGTGTTTGCGAGCCAACCAAGTCCTCCTGCAGAACAAACTGAAGGAGGAGGAGAGGGTGTTGAAGGAGACCTGCGACCAGAAGGATCTGCAGATCACCGAAATCCAGGAGCAGCTGCGTGACGTCATGTTCTACCTGGAGACACAGCAGAAGATCAACCACCTGCCTGCTGAGACCCGGCAGGAAATCCAGGAGGGACAGATCAACATCGCAGTGGCCTCAGCCTCCAGCGCCCCCTCTTCGGGTGGCAGTGGGAAGCTGCCCTCCAGGAAAGGCCGCAGCAAGAGGGGCAAGTGACCTCTAGGAAACAGGTGTTGCTGAGACTGTTCTCCCTGGCGCGGCAAGGGTGTGCTGGGGCTTCAGCTACATGTGAGGGTGGACCTTGATTAAGTACAAGTGAGGACGGAGCCGCCGTTGTTTGGATCTTTTCTTGGCTGGCGTGCGCTGTAGTAACTGGAGGGCCAGTGGCCGTGGCGAGGAGAGCTGATGGGAATGGGCCGGGGCTTAAGAGGTGGCCGCTGTTTCCCACCATAGGAGTTCACTGACCTCAGACGTTCTGATGACCATTTTGCCTTGCTACTTGACAGAAGCCCCAGCTCTGCTGTGCAGTTTTCCATTGTATTTATTGAGTCAGTGGATTTGACATTCAGTTCTGGGGTCGGTTCAAGACGTCAAATTTTGTTTTGTTTTTTTTTTTTTTTTGGCAACCTCAGAGGTCACGTTACCTGAGGTCATAGCAGCTGCTTTAAAGAGAGGTTTGCATTGGCCCCTGAGGATTTATGAAAATTCCCTAGCGTTAGTCTCCTGTCATTGTCCTCCCTCCCTGCAGTCTGGAAATTGAAGAATTGGTTGAAGGTCACAGGAGAAGAGGCTGGGCCAGTAAACCTTTAGTCACTAGCCTGTCACCAGCAGCCATCTCTTGCTCCGGGGCTAGCCAGGAAAAACAAACAACCCGCCCAGGCTGAGCGGACCCAGTGTAGGAAAAATGGTGGCGCTTCTACTTTGTTTTCAATGACTCCACACCACATTATGAACCTCAAGTAAGGAGGAGGCTGAAGGGTTACTCTAAGACCCAACTCTCAGAGTGGATTTCCTAGCATCTAGCAAGAATCAGCAGGCAGATTTATCATCCATGTGAAAATGCAGAGTGAGGCCTCTGACTAGCTGATTGTGTATTTTGCTAGGATCAGTGTTTTCTGAATGTTTACAAAAGATTGGGCTGCATGTTCAGGTTGCGGCTAGAGGGAGCTTGGGCAGATTTTCAATGATGCTTTCAAGATACAACCAAAGGCTGTTTCTAAATCCGAAAATTAGAATTTTAACAGAGCCCCTTTAAAAGAGTCATGCAATGCTTGTGAGCCAACAGAGGGGCTGTGTACTTTTTCTAGAAACCTTAACGTCAAGTAATTCATCCTACGCAGTAATTGAGCAAACTTAAAGTAAGACCCGTGTTGGAATTTAAGCTTCCAAAAGAGGTAGCTGGATGGGTTAACAAGACATGCTGTTAAATGATGGGGTTTTCTGCTTTAGAATTAGAGTTTTCAAATGATCACATTTTAGAATTGTTTTTTAGCCTATGGTTAGACCTCATCCCCTTTGGCCTAAATGTCTTATATGTTACTTGTTAGCACACAAACTGTATTGTTAATCACCATCCATTTTTGTGGGATGTGCTGTAGCATTTCCCAAAAAACCTCACCTGTAACTTTGCAAAATGAATGTACTCAGACATTCTCAATTTTTACTTAGGGCAGACCAACTCTACAAGTCCCCCTTGGACTTATATATACAGGTATCTTAAAGCAAGAATGGGAATGTAAAGCATAACCTAATTCTCTTTCCTATAGAGATTCTATTTTATTTAAAATCTATTTTTACACTAGTTAGAATCCTGCTTTTTTGGCCAAGTACTTGTCTTGCATGTCTGACCTTGCAGAAGCTGGGGTGGATCGTAGCATACTAATTAAGAGAATTAGAAGTAGTTGACAAAGCTTGCTCGCTCCTCATTTTCCCATGATCACCTCCATCAAGCAGCCCTACGACCAGCTGGGAGAACAGAGAGCTTCAGTACAGGTGGGCTAAGTGCTCTGAAAGGCTGTGCCCAGAGGAATGAGCAAATAGGCAAATGTTTCCAAACTACTTGAAGGTTTAAACATTTTTTTCCAGAAATAAAGAATCTTATCAAGATACATTAAGAAACTGTCTTTGAAAAAGGTCAAAGAGTCATGTTTGAATTTGACAAAATTACATAAGGTAGAAACTGTTCGTGTTTTCTTCAGGATGGAAATGAACCACTTAATATATCCATACTACCTTGAACAATGAAATTGCATTAAAACAACCAAACTTTGAAGTGATTCTGCCCTGTGTGAAATTTGTGTCTCTCTGATTGACGTTTGCTCGGGAGCTTGTATCTAAATAACCTAAGAAAGTGTCAGTGACCTGGATTTAAAAGAAGCATTAAAAATCATCCCCTCAACAATAGAGTGAGCAGCTAGATTATTCATCTCTCCACCCCTTTGCTCCAATTTCCCAAACTAATAAAAAGTAGAATAAGGAAAATTATCTCAATTTGGAGGCTCGGGATAGGCTGAGACTCAGCCCACAACTCTTTTGCAAACGGAAAGCAATCAATTTACACACCGGAGACTTTTTCCCAGGCCCTATCGCAAGCTGAGATCGTTTTCCTTTTTGAAACCGTCCCAGATGGGACTGGTTAGGATACACTGGGTCAGACAAAGCCCTGAACCAACTCCCAGCTCCAGGCTTGCTCAGGGAGGTTGTCCTCAGCGAGAGGGTAGGAAACCAAACAGCCAGCCAGTAGAGTGTGGAGAGCTTGGCAAATCACAAATGAACAACCTTCTGTCATCACTTGGAAACCCCTCTCCTGGTACAGTTGGGATACACAAGTTACAAATACTATCCTTAAGATTTGGCTGCTGCGCACTCTGCCACGTTGCTTGGGCTGGTGGCCGACGGGCTCACGTGATGAAGTCAATGGGCTTTATCTAAAAAAGGAAAGTCGCTCTCACATTTGAGGAAAGTGATTTCGTCTTCTCCAAGAAAAAGCTGAATTAACTGTCGCAGTGAATTCTGCTGCGTTAATTTCTTTCTTGGCAGTGGAAGGGAAATTTTTCAGGAGTCTCTCACGACCCAGTTCCTGCTCCTTCATTGTGCTGGGGATGTCTCCACTGCTCAGAGACCTGGCTCTCACCTTAAATGAGTTTAGGAAGCCACCAAGTGTTCTCTGACAGGCTTCTGCTTCGAACCAGCCCTTTTCATTCTTGTCTGTGAAGGTTCTTGAAGTGGGAGTCCTAGAATATCTGCATAGTGCCTACACCAACAGATGTAGCTTTTTTTTTTTAAGATTTATTTACGAGAGAGCATGCATGCGGGGGGATGGGGGCTTGAGGGGAGAGAACCCTCAAACAGACTCCTTGCTGAGCACGGAGCCTGACTGGGGCTGGATCCCAGGACCCTGAGATCATGACCTGAGCTAAAACCAAGAGCCAGACACCACCTACTGAACCATCCAGGCGCCCCCAGATGTAGCTTTTAAAGTTAAAAATTTTAAATGCCAGGAAAGAGTAAAGTAGTAATAGGAGGAAAAGCCTTTCCCTGCAGGGACCTCCCCGCCCCGTTTTGCCCCAGAGCCAAAGCCCAGCGTCTCATCCTGTGCAGCCCGAAATTCATTCCCCACTCCCACCCCCACAAACACTGCACTGCCCTCACCCCGGAGCAAACAAGTATTTTTGCCCTGGTGCATTGGGAGACCTCAAGGAAGTTTATATATAAAACTTATTTTATTTTTTACCCTCTTTGGTGGGGGTGTGGGGAGGGCTTGTGGCCTCTTTATCCTGATTAATGTCATGATCAACTCCTTTATGCCTTCTTTTCGTCGTTTAAAGGTAATGGTAACCATTTACCACTTCCTGGTAACCCTTTTTACCCTGTCTCCCTGGGACTCATGCCCTCCCCGGAATGCTCAGGCACTTAACAATATTAGGTTCTGCTAGACATTCATTTTTTGAAAGCTGCACTCCCAGAAGCCAAAACTATCTCAGCATCATTTTAGCTAGTATACTTTTCATGAACATGGAGCAATCTCTTACTGTAATTCTGGAAGCTTAGGCGAGCGCGAAGGGGGCTCTGCAGTTGGTTCTTAATCTGGATTTTGCATTCTTGCTCACTAAAGAAGGCCAGGGAGAGATGAACAATCTGTTGTTTTATACAAGATGATTGTGGTCTTTGGGGCCCAATGTTGAATTGCTTCGGGTCAGAAACTTCTCACTGGAATCATCTGGAAAATGTGGTTTTGGTACTTGGCACGGAGCAGTGCTGGTGCAGATAACGTTTGTTACTCCAAGGCTAATTACCAAGTGCTCTAAGTGAACTAAAGCTGCTTTGCCTTTTTTCAGACTGTGTTCTAAATCCCCTGACCCAAAACTCCTTTCAGATCCAGCCTCGAAATACATGCAGAGAGGTTGGTATCCTAGTATAATACGACTGATGGTGAAATCCTTCTCAAAAGATAAAAGCAGAGCTATATAGCACCGGTCGTAAATGCTGAATAGGAGAAGCAGTACTGACCTGGCCTCTGTGGAGATGTCTTTCACCATCTTTTGTGGGGAAGGAGCCGAAGGTCCCAGACCAAAGCTGCCTGTATGTCCATTTCCTTATTTAAAAGGGAAGGGTGCCCTGAGACCCCCTCCAGCCGAACTGATTTGTGATTGTAGATTCTCAATCCCTTGGGTATGGCCCAATGGGCCAAGAGTCCAGACTTTCCCTAGAGGGCTGGGCACAGTCGAGTGCCATTAAAAGAATGATGTGTCCCCACCACTTGAGAAACTAGACGGTGTCACTTTGCATCACTAACAATAGCCCCAAAAGACTGGTGCTAACTGAAAAGAAGGAACACAAACTAATTTCAGGGGCAGAAGAACAAGATCACAGAGAAAGACCGAGAAGTGAAGGAGAGTCCATGGAAAATTTTAGGAGGAACAAGAGAGCCGCTCTCCTGGAAACACTCCAGCGGAGAGCAAACAAATTGTGACTTATCACACACAGCCAGAGGGTCCTCCAGCAGCATTTTCCAGGAATTATCTTTTGTGAAAGACTTCGCCTTAAATCATGGCCATACCCATTCACACATCCTAACTGATTCGTTTGTGCTCACACGGAAACTATGAGCCCAAAACCGTTTGCAGAAGAGACAGCAATAGAAGAGCCACGTCACAACCCCCCTCCCCCACCTCCCGGCCCCACCTGTCCTTGGGGAAAAAAATTAAAATCCTCTTTTCAAAATGCATGCCTCAGGAAAACAGCTTCATCGCATGTGTTTCCATGCTGCGGAAAATCAACACTAACTGGCTTTGATCCCAAACAGGGCCAACTGCAGAACGCTGAGGTTCTGCAGCCAGGAACTCGGAGGCCTCCTCTATCCACCCTCCCCCCAAGCACATTCGACTTCAATTATGTGGGAACATGCTGGGCCGGGGGG